TTCTTGAATATGAAAGTTAGGATTTGTTAGAAAAAATAATTTTTGGTCAATATATTTATGGCATTGTGAGTTTTGATAGTTGAGGGATCATCAATACCTGAAATTGTCATAAATAAGAGTAGTTGGGGGTGTTTGATGGCCAATAATGGTAGTTTAATGGTTCATTAGTAACACTTTGAGTTAAATGAAGCTAAAAAACTCTATGGGTATCTTTGTTTATGAGAAAATTGAATTTTAAGAGTATTGAAGTGTTGAACTAGATGTTAGAAATTATCTTAAGGAGGTTATTGACAAATTGTTGATGTGAATCAATGTAGAGTAATTACAACTTAACACCATTCAAGCTTTGGTTAGCTTTGAAGATGTGTATTTGAGAGATAAATATTTGACCTCTTAAAGGTTTGAGGTAATTGGGAGAAAATCTCATTTGTTCTTTTGTGTGTTAATTGATTTATTGATTTAAATTTTATAATTGAAGTGTGTAAAATTTATTTGAAATGCAAGTATGGCATAAAATATGTGAACATCAAATATTATGATTTTTGTGGAGTTCAATGACATGATTCGTGTAAAGTTCCATGACATAGTGATAGTGGAGTTCAATGATATGGTTTATGTGGAGTTCTATGACTGTTTATAAGTAGAGTTGAATGATGTGATGTGACATATGTAATGAGGAGTTCAACAATTATGTGAAATGTGGAGTTCCACAAATATTTGTAAATGGAGTTTAATGATGTAATGTATTGTGGAGTTCAATGACATGTTATTTTGTGTTTGTGTGATGAACATGTATAATATGAGTATGATGAGAATATTAAGTATGCTTGTATAATGACTACTTGCATGTTATAAGAAATTTCATCTTTATGCACTCATGATCATGAAAGGTGGGAGTTCACCTAGGACGAGGAATAGAAAAATAAAAATCCATGTAGTAAGGCTACCATTAAAGCTCGATGATTTGCTTATACTTATCATCCCACTTATTTGATAAGGGACTATCCCATTATGTGATAAGGGACTTAAATTTATTCTAATTTCTACTTGTTTGATGAGGAAACTAATTTAAGGAGAACAACACCCCACTATGTGAGATTGGGAAAACGTTGACCCACAAGTGAGTTAAGTAACTTTAACTGAGTAGCTTTTCATACTTGGATGGCTAGGTTAGTCTCATCATATAGACGATTCCAGCATGTAGCCTACAATTTCGTGTCGAACGCATAAGGAGGATATAAGAGAGGTGTGATCATGCATATTATGATGAAGGGCATATAGTTGTCCATACTATATCCCTTATTTTGAGAACATGGAATAACATGAGTTTAATATCTCAATTGTGAAATCTATATTGCTGTTTGTGAGAATGAGTATTGTAAAATTGAGAAAATGATATTCTAACTCATGGAAGTGGAATTTAAATGTGGATGACATGAATGAAATGATTGATTACCTCTTACATTGAAATTGATTGACATGCATTAGTATAAATTAGAAATACCTTAATTACTAAGTGGTTGTACTCACCCATTTTTCTTTAATATTATAGGAGTTAGCTTATTGGGATAAGACCGAGGAAAACAGACTAAGACTTAGGATTTTGATCTCAAAACTACAGGCCTCTTTTATTTTGAGTAATATATCTGTATAATCAATGAGGATATTGCCAACTAGGAGTTTTTCATGCACGCTTACTTGCATTAAGTATTAGTTAATGTTAAGCTGTGTATTTTGGGCAATAGGTTGTATTTATGTATAAATTGTGAAATCTAAAAAAGGGTCAAAATACTAGTGCGACTAAGAAGTGAGTAAAAATGTGGATGCTGTAAAATGATTTAGATAATTGTGAATTTGAGGCTCCCCTTTTTGTTTTTGTGATTAAAGGGTTGAGCATTGAAAATGTATTAGATGTGTTAATTGTATAATATGGTGTATTTACAGGTCTATTATAGTCTATTGAGTATGATCTAATTTAGGCTTTTAATACTTAGAATGAGATTTGGACACCTAAGTTGTGTTTGAAATGTGAAAAAGAGTGAGTTGAGAAAAAGGTATCCAATTTTTAATTGAGAAACAATTTGATTATAAGACCAATGCTATTAACTAAAGTTAAAAGAAAGTTTTTTGTGAACACTTACATTACTTCAATCGGATATTGGACAAAGAAATGGGCTCATTGGAAGTTCGCCCTAATTTAAAAAATGTGCAATGCACCGTGGTGCAAGCAAAAAGGCAAATGTGCCACGGCCAGTACCTATACCCTTTTATACTATTTTGCTATTTCAATTATTTTGCAAATGTTTTGATCCTTTTTAGATTCTCGTGCTTTTTGATATATCTTTAACTCTAATTTTTGAATTGGAATGATATATTGAGATGTGTTAAATTTTTAAAACTTAGGATCCCTAATTTATAAAACTTACCAACTTAGTAATAATTTTAGGTTAATCTCTTATTTATCTCGATCCTTAGAGTTAATTGGAAATTGGTAAGGAAAACCTTACACTCAGTACTGTAGTTCACCTGGCCGAATGTAGGCTAATCCAAGCTACATGTGTCACTCGTTGGGCCTAATGGGAGCATATCACATAGTAATTTGATCCAATACACAAACTTCCAACTATACACTATTAGTTATGCAATTTAAAACAATTTTCCATACACATAAGTTCAAAACATAATATATCATGCTTTCAAATACTTAATTTTTAATCCAAATACATTTTTATACATAGCTAGATTCCTCCCCATGTGATGCACATGGAAATTTTCTAGTAATGAATTACATATACTTTGTGGAAACAAAGATTATAAAAGGCCAGTAATTATTGGTGATTATTATTGATTGTTAATAATTAATGTGTAGTTAATATATTAAAGTATAGAACAGTTGGCAAGGATGTATACGAAGAGGAAAATCAATCAACATGACACTTGATAAATAAGCCAATGCTAGCACAACTTAAATTCACATAAAATCCCCTCATTTAGATAAACATTATTGATATAGCTTGTTTTTCTTTTCTTAAGTGATTAAATTTATTAGTTTTTATGACAAATATGGGATTGCAAGAATATAACATATTGCTTAAAATAATGAAATACGTATCACCTCTCTTTATGAATCTTTGGAAAATGTCTTATGCATTAGCTGCTGCATTAGAATTAAAATCCTTTAAAACGGTAATTGGAGATACATGATATATATCTATCACTCAAAAAAAAAGTCTTGCTTGATACCTTTAAGTTTCTTAAAGAAGTATAACATCTCTTGTGTTGCAAGAGATACTGAGGATGAAGGTTAAATGCCTAAACATGTGATTAACCCTAAATAACTTCAAATAAAAATTTATTTCTTATTTTAAATCTCAAAACAATATAAATTTCTAATAAAATCCAAATTGCATAATTTATTTATTATTTAAAGATTAAGATGTTACTGCAGATGCACCCTGCATTGTAGCACATGACATATAAACGTTGTGCTAAAGCTAAATAAAGCCCAACAAGTTGGGCCCCACTGGCTCCTAAAACCTATCCTATAACCTATTTAACCCCTGTATATGTCTATAGGGCCCATTTTAGTCTATAATTAAGTACCTAAATCATTGATTAACCTTAATTATCCTCAAACACAATTTATTCACTAAATAAAACCTCAAATTATCAATGCCTCAATGTAAACTTTCTTCAATAATTCCACAACTTAATTCCGTAATAAAAAATAGGATGTTACAACTAGCCTATTGAGCAAGACAAAACTTACCAAGAACACATTAATCAAGTAACGATCATAATTTCAAAATTCTTAGAAATGAGGGATTAATAATGAGCTCTCAATTTAAGGCCTTTTCCCCCCCTCTAAATTAGATTGAGCAAAATGAAATATGCTTAGGTAAATACATATGAAAATCTCTAGACTTCCATGGAATTCTAAGCATGGAAGCCTTTTGGCCTCCATCGTCCTTGCCCTTCTATCACTAGTGCTCCTTTGCCTCTCCTGTAGTGACGACGATGACGATCTACCACAACATGACCTTCAGTGTTGATAGCATTACTACCAAACAGATAGTATTCGGACTACCAAACAAATACTCTTCAATTTTAGATTTGGTGACTCTTTGATTATTCATTTTCTTCCCAAGTAGTTGTTCTCATGTTTAATAAAAAAGTCTTCATTTTTCCTATAAAAAAAATGTCGTGATGTATTTAGATCATATCTCTTTTGTTCTCTGCAATGAGGACTTCTAATCTTTTTGGACCATATCACTTTTGTATATATGGGAAAGTCAGGGAAACTAACGGTTGAATATATTTTAAACAGCTTTTTTATAGTGGATATAAATTGATCAAATAAAACTTAATTTCAATTTATTCCTTAAAATAAGTTTAGTCCTTAAATATAAATAGTTGCCGCAGTGGTTCTTCAACCTCTCAAACAATAAAATGCCAAACTAAATTAAAAATACAACCCAAGCTAGAGGTAAATTGAAATTTGAAAATGGGAGGGTGGGAGAGAGATAAACCACCTAAATTATTTCAGGCCCTGGTGAGCATCCAAATGTGCTCTTGACATGTGGCATGCACACCCAAATTGTTATGTGCTGTTCATATTAATCATATTAATCAAATTTATAATTTAATAAATTATAAATTATTTCTTAGATTCAAAATAATCCAAAATAAATCTCTATTGATAGTTCATAAATTTATTAAATTTTATAAAATTTTTATTTTAAAAACTAAAATTTATCAAGGGTGATGTTGTTCGGTGTTTCTATTCTGGATTAATAAAAAAAGTATTTAAATCTAAACTCCACATTGTTGACTTGCGGTAGCCCTCAGCAGCTTAGCTTCAATATCGTTGACTTGAGTCAGCCTATTTTCAATATCGTTGACTTGGGTCAGCCTATTCCCAAGCGGATTGTGACTTGAAATGTGAATGGATTCTAACTACAAGTTTCGAAGAGTCCGCAATCCAGCGAGAGAGAGAGAACTCTATCAAACTATATAACTTTTCTTGCATAAAATACCAGGAGAAAAAAAAAAAAAAGCCAAAATCAACCAGGAAATAGATTTTTAGGTGACAACAGGCGTGCTTGAGGAAAGCGAGTAAAACGGCAGCTGTAATCATCCTAGAGATACTTATTGTCCAGTTCATCGAAGTAAGGGTGTTCCATGGCTTTCTTTGCAGAAATCCGTTTTGAAGGCTCGTATTGCAGCATTTGCTGGAAATAAGGGGGGGAAAACTATCAATTGAGCGGAAAGAAGAAAGATTGAAGGCAGCAAAAGGTTGGAAGAGGCAACTTACAGAGAGCAGATCCAATCCAGGCTCGTCCAAATTAGGAACAGCAGTTGACAGATTTTGAGGGCTCCACTGGGGGTATTCATGCCAATTCATTAGTTTACTAACGCCTGGCCACATCTCCTCATTTGGAGTACCCAACAGCCTGCACAAGGACGTATATTGAGAAAAGAAGTGGTATACAGTGAAGCCAAATAATCACAAAAACTGCTGACCATGTCACCTGAATATATGCAGGAGTTGTTGCAGCTCAGAATCACCAGGAAAGAGGGCTTGCTTGGTGACTAGTTCAGCTACAAAATAAAAATAGATAAATAAATAAAACTCCTTCCAAATCAACAATTCGCCGCCTATTGAAAATTTTCAGGGATGGGAATTTTTACCAAATATGCAACCTACAGACCACATATCTACTGCCATCGAGTAATGGGTTGCTCCCAAAAGGACTTCAGGAGCTCTGTACCACAAGGTCAGGATCTGAATAGAGAAAAGGGAAAAAAAAGGGGGTGGGGGGGGGGAAGATGTGAGACACTGATGATGCTACGAGGAAGCAGGGAGGGAGGGAGGGAGGGAACACGTGCACCACCTCATGTGTGTATTTCTTGATTGGCACAGTAAATGCTCGAGCCAACCCAAGATCAGCTATTTTAAGCATCATCGTTTTGCGGTCCATCAAGAGGTTATGGGGCTTCAGATCCCTTCAGAAATATAAGAAGAGACTTGACATGTCCAATCTATCCGAGAGGGGAAGATTAAAAAAAAAAAAAGGAAAGAAAGGAGAGGTTACCTGTGCAAGATTCCATGACCGTGGCAGAAAGCAACGCCCTTGCAGAGTTGGTACATCAAGCTCTGAAATGAAAATGCACCCAACACGCATAAGACCTTGATAAATAAGAACTACGGTTCCGCGCGAAAGAAAATGTCGCGCTTACTTTAACTGTTGGAGTGGGGATGTTTTCGCCGGATTGACGGAAACCGCGAATGAATTTCTTGAGGTCCGTGTCCATATACTCAAACACCAAGTACAGCACTGTCTTTCCTTCCTTGTTCTGACCTTGTTTTACATCCATCAGCCTGTCGGAAATAATGAAATGCTTTACTTAAGACACGATATGTTGAAATAAGGATGAACTACCTATGGCAGAGAAATACAAGAGATGTGGCAGTGATAGTAACATTAAACTCTTTAGACGATACAAGGATCAAAATCTTGGCGCCTCGAAAGAAAAAGATAGCAAAACAAGATGAGCACGAGAGAGAACTGGAGTCAGGAGATAATCGGCCAATGCAATGGTAAGATAAAGGTTGAAAATCATAGAGATGAAGACTGTGTGGTGTGTATGGCAAAACCCTAAATTCCCAATTTGAGAGAGAGAGAGAGAGAGAGAGAGAGAGAGAGACAGAGGAAAGAGACCTGACAATATGGGGATCCCTGGACAGCATACGCAGAATGGAAACCTCGCGGAGAGTGGTGGGAGGGACGCCTTCTTCGTCCTCGTGCAGGCGAGTCTTCTTGAGAGCAACGATCTTGCCAGTTGATTTATCAATTGCTCTGTACACCTTCCCATACGTCCCTTCTCCTACCTTCTCTAGCTTCTCGAATGCGTCCTTTGCCGATAGGGTGCTCACACTCTTCTCCATTTGTTTCTTTCAATCTCTCCCTCTCCCTCCCCCTAAATTACAAGCATCGGCGTGCATAACACGTAATTTATAGCCCCTAAATGGTTCTTGAATTGAGTCGTTGAGCAACGGTCACATTTCTTTTTGAAATTCAAATAACATGTTTGCGCGCGGCTCGCATGGTTTCTCAGGGGACACGCTACTTTACCCCTCTTAATTTCTCGCCCATTTTTTTTTTTTTAAAGACTAAGATATTGTATTAGGGAACAAAAAAGTATATATCTTGGATATTATTATTTTTTATGAAAAAAGAAAAACATAATCATTAATTTTTATAATTTTATCAGGTATTATTTTTAGTCTATATAATTTTTTCTCAATTTTCAATTTTTATAGTTCTTATAATTTAACATTATCAAAAATATAAAAAAAAATTCACGCAATTTTTTTGAAATTGTAGGAGCTAAAAAAATTAAAAAAACCATAGTGATCTCTATCTCTATATATACAAAATCAGGATGTCAAAGCACACGAGTCAGTACATTATAAAGCTACATTAAATCCACATTTTTCTCCCACAATGACATTTGGAGGATTGACTCATTATTCTTTTAATAATATCTAATAATTATTTCAAGAATAGTAAAGCCTCAAACACATCAATGATTTCTCCTTCCATTAATTTCTCCCTCAATTTGCAAGGTCCTAAAAATAGTCAATCCGTAATGCATGTATTAATTAATTTTAGACTGTATCAATATTTTTAAAAAAAATTAATAAAGTTGGACCCAAATTTAAATTTAAAAAAATTTAATGATTATTTTTGTGTATGAATATAATGCAAATATCTTGACAAATAAATTTTATTGATTTTTTTTATTTTGTAAGAACCTAAAAATAATCAACACCTAAAGATCAAATCCATTGATTTTAAATCACATAAATTATTTTTTAAATAAATTTTAATGAGATTGAATCCATGTTTAAAAATTTTAAAATTAATGCTTAAAAGGAAAATATCTATTGAAAAAAATAATCTTAATTTTATTTTGTGAATAAATTGCTGAGTGTGCTAATTTTTAGGTAAAATAATTTTGCATCCAAATGCTTTTATTTTTTAGCCAATCAAATGAGTTTAACTTTACCTCTCCCTCAAAATGTAATCAAATTTCAAAATTAAATTGCATTTAATTGCAATGATAAAGTATGATATGGCTACCCTTGTCCTATTTCCTCCCTCTACCTTCACATATTTTTCTCCCACTTCAATTTCATCATCCACCCTGGCAATGTCTCTCTCTTTATCTTTGCATTGTTTTGCAATTTTTATAGCTCCTTGATCCTTCAGTGATGGGCGGTTTCTATTCATGCTTCTTGACATCAATGAGCTGATCAAGATCACTTTTTTAGATCGGATAATGACTTCCTCAATCAATGTTTTTTTTCTTAATGTTTCATTACTTTATTATTTGGAAGAGTAAGATGATATTTTTCTATTGCTTGATGATTCCTTTTTTCAAGAAAGAGTTATAGTTAAGTTTAGTTGTTATAAAATGGTTGATGAATTTTAATATTTAAGGATTTTTTTTTTGTCTTTTACATTAGGTTATTTCTCTTTATATAGTGCTTATGGAAGTTCTTTTTGTATAAATATAGATTTTGTTTATATTAATATATGAATTTTATATCATTTTATTTTTTTATTTTTTTTAGCATATAGATGATGCTATGATACTACTAAACTCAAATATTTAAGTTTTATATCCTTTAAATCATGTTAATGATACATTTGTTCTCTAAAGACTATGAAGTGGAGGTGTTTGGGGTTTTTTTTCCCCCAACCAAAACCATGATTTAGTTCTAAAGAGTTGATTTTAAATCAATATCCAAACATGCACAAAAGCTATTGGAAATCAATTATATCAATAATATCGCACATAATTATTTAATTGCGAACATATTATTTTTCTTTTTAAATTTAGATTATAACTTTGAATTTAAATACATTCATTATGCAGCTAATTCAAATTTGCAAAATTATTAAATAGTCAATCAACAATGAATATATTATTTGATTTTAAATTATCTCAAAGTGATGGGAAATAAATTGCCTTAAATTGGATTGCGAATAATTATTGGTATATGAATATATATTATTTTTCCATTTTCTGTATTTTTTTAATTTTTAATGCATTTTTTATTTGTGGTATTTATCTCATTATTTATTTGATTATAATATTTGTATATCTATCTGATTATTTAGTTGATTTCCTGACTGCTAATGCTTATAAGAATATGTACTTTGTTAGGTGGGTGGTAAAAGTATTAATTTCTTAGCTTTGTCTAATATTTTGGCCATGGATATCATGGAGGCTAATTTGGATGTGAATATATCTTCCAATATGAGTGGCAGATTGGGTGTGGAGTGATTTTGTTGCTTTGCTTTGCTCTGTAGTTCTGCTTTTCTGATTTTTACAAACTCTTTTGTATGCCTAATGATTTCATTTTGAATATCATATTCTCTTGGCTCAAAAAAATTACTTTTATTGAAATGAAGATACAAGTAATTAAGATTTATTATATTAAAAAAGTAATTAAGCTTTAGCCATCAAATAGGTCAATGTTTTTATAAAATAAATTTTAATAAGATTGAAAAATATTAAATTTTAATAATTTTTGAGTAAAACACCCTAACTACCTTTTAGTTTATCTTAATTACACATGCATTCCCTATATTTTAAAAACATACAACTAGTTAATTAATGAGTACTGTTAAGGAATTAACAAATAAAAGTAATTAATTAATAAGTAAAGTTAGGTAATAACTAAGTATTTGTTGATTTTGCAGAAGAGCATTTTGACCTTTTCAACCACCTATTTTATTTTAATTTAGTCTAGAAATTCTACAGAGAATTTTTAGATTTTATTAGGACTCACTACTAAATATTTCTATTATATGGTCTTTAGTTGAAATTCTTTTAAAAATATAATTATGGATTGAATGTTTTACTTAGGATTGATTAAAAAAGGATAAGCTTTAGTGTCTGGTTCAACATTAATTCTTCTTGATAGGATTGAACAAGGATGAGATAGTTTGAATGATTACCTATAATTTGCCTATATTTAACAAACATTGGTTAGCTAGTACCTATAAGCAACTCATTTTTTTCATTTAAAAATGGGCTAAGCTAACTCACACAAGTTATAGAGGGCTAGGGTGCCTATTTAAATAAATGTTGAAAACAAATACATGGAGGCAAGTTCAAAAAGAAGAAGAGAAGAGAAAGGAGAAAACAACGTTTATCTAGAATTTTCTTTAATAAAAAATTACATATAAAATATTGAAAAAGTCAAAGAAAAATTCAAACAAAATTATGCAAAATCCTTTAAAAAATTGAAAATTTAGAAAACAATTTATGGATAATCACAACTCACTAGAAAAATCATCATATCATAAACAGAATCCCACAAAGATATTATAAAATCACAAAATAAATCTAGCTAATTATTTGAATCCATAATCTAAGAGAAACAAGTAAACTATGAGTCTGTATAAGCAATCTTTGAGGGCCAGATTTGATGATTTGAATCTGGAGGCTGGTGACAAAGTTCGCGATTTGAGTATAATGAAGATCTATCTTCTCGTCAGTGAGGCTAAGGGGCGACATAGTAGAAGGAGCGGACGGCGATGATGGGAGGCTAGGAGGTAGGGGGAGGACGGACAGCGATCTGTGACTTTAGATAAGATCATCAGACAACCACGATGGAAGGACCACGGACAGAGGAGCAGAGGAAGAGAAGGTAGGTAGCCACGCTTAGGTTTTTTTAGTTGAAAGGTTTAAAAGGGGAGTTGCTGCAAAGAAGGTAACCTGGTCTACTACTTTTGTTTATGTCCGCTGGGAACTTTGGACAACAAACTTATTTAGTGAGGAGGAACCAATATTGAAGTTGGACATCAGAAAATGCTTAATGAAAGATCAAATTGATCTCAATTGGATTAGGAAAATTGACATGCATAAATTACCCTACAAATCATTTGACAAATGGAAACTTCTTGATAGAGGTTTTTTTAGGTTGGATGTTGATGGATCTGTGCATATTAACGGCTTGACTACATGTAGTGGAAATGTGATAGACAACAAAGGCGATTGGGTTGTGGGACTTTGGTGGAAAATTGAAGATTATCGCCAGCTCTAGCTGAAGTTATGAGTATAATCATGGGTCTTGAGCTCTGCTAGTTGAAGGGATTGAAACAAATTAAAGTTTACTATGATTGTGTAGAAGCCATAAATCTAATCACTAGAGGAATTAGTTTATTACTATTAATTTCATTTATAGGGATGTTGTTAGCTTTGCTCATAGAATAGTTAGGTCAGCTCATTTTACAAAGGGCTTTTTTATATCTTTAATCATCTACCACCTTGGTTAGCTGAAGGGGATAGATGATGATTGATTTCTAGGCTCTCTTTTTGTAGCTTTATTTGTACTGGTTGGTTTTATTTCTCTTGGAATGCATTTCAATTTTATTCAAAAAAAAGGGAAGTTGCTCTTCTTCCCTTGTTTAGTTAGTGTCACAGGATTTCATTTGGGTTTTTTTTTTTTTTAAAGGAGAGGTAGGAGAGAAAATAATTAAAATTAATTTAAAAATTTATTTTTAAATTTTTAAATTATTTTTATATTAAAAAAAAATGTATTATCTCTCTTTTTTATAATAAAATAAATTTTATCATGTTACAAAAATTAATGTATAATTTTTTAATGTATAAAATTTTAATATTTTTTATTAGACTCACTGATAAAATATAGTATTAATTTATTTGTTCTTCAAACTTTTTTACTAATATAAGTCATATTTTTAAAATTAAAACTTAATAAATTATAATAGAATATTTTTTTTTCAAAGAAAAAAATAAAAATCAAGTTAAATTTGATAGGAATAAAATTGTTAACTTATTTTTATTCCCCTCCCCTCTCTTCCTAGACCAAACAAAGGTTTGTTATGATCTCTTCCCTCGAATCAAACACACCTTTGGAGAGTTTTGAAAGGGACTCCCTCCCCTCATTTGATTAAAAATTTTTGGAGGGGAGGGATCCCCCATATTGCTCACCTTCAGTTAGGAATTTTTTTAGAAGGGAGTTAAAATTTATTACTCATTCTATTTTAAATTATAAGATATTTTTAGATAAAATCTCACATATCAATAATCCTCATTAAATACACTTAATAATTTTACCTTTTTAAAATAAAAATATAAACTTTTAAAATTACCCATCATTTAATATTTTGAAAAAAGAAGGGATGAAAATTAATTATAGAGAAAAAAAAATAATATTAAAATTGGTGTAATTAATAAAACATTAATCTGCTTAGAGTGTCTTATATTTTAGGACAGAAAAACTCTTTTAAAAATATCTTATAATTCAGAATGGAGGGAGTGCTAATTTTCCTTTTTCATTGCATTTTGCCTGAGTCTTCTTATACACTTGAGCTAGTCGCGTCTCACCATCCACATCAACTGTGTGCCCTCTTCTTCGTCATTCTTTGTATCTGTAACTCTGTTTCTTGTGCCTTGTATAGTCATCACCACGGGCACCTTCAACTTTCCTGTACCCTCTTCCAATTCTCTGTTCCATCATTTCCCACGTCCATCAGCGTTAAGTATTGTGGTTGGTAATTCCTTTTCAGTTTTCTATTTTGATGATATATTGATGTTTGATTATTAGAATAAGCCATTTTTCTTATATTAATGAAAAATTAAAATATTAAAATTAAATTGAGAATTAATAAATAAAATAATCTAGTTCTAAAATAAAAAATGTGTAGAATTGACATAATAATTAAGTTGTAAAATCATCTTAACCATGCAATTTGGGTTAAGCTTTAAAATTATTTTTCACAACAAAATAATTAAAGAATATAAAACTTACATAAAAGGATATAATGATAAATTAGTTAATACTTTCCCTTCTCTACCCTCCCTTCAAATCAAACACATTCTTAAAGCCAACTTGCAAAAAAGTGGCTAGTTGGGTTGGAAAAAATGAATTCAATTAAATGTGAAGTGGTTTTGGCCCACCCCACATGACTTAAACTCACAGTAGGCTAACTTGTGGGTTGGTGGGTTAGCCTGCTTATTTTTATAAAAAAAATAAATAGAAAAATAAAAAAATGAGATTGAGTTTAAAGTAAAACATTCAAAGTATGTATGCATGAAATTGTAGTTTAAGTACTTGATACATTTACATTTATTTAATTTAAGTTTAAATTAAGATAGAAAATAATAAAAACACACCGCTCATATATTTAAGTGGTGATATAATATAATCTAAATGTGATAAACAAGATTGAATAAAATATTTTATTATACTTTGATTCATTTATATAATATCCTATTTAGATTATGTTGTTTGTAAAATAGTGCTACTTAACAAATAAAAAAATTTTTTTATTTTTTTTTTTAAAAAATTAAACATATTTATGAAGTGCTAAATATATATTATATTATCATCTTAATTTGAACATAAAAGGGACAAAAATAGAGATCAAAACATTTAGGTGGTATGAAATGAATATATTATAAAAGTAATAATTTAATAGTTAGAGTTAAATCATCATCATTTTTTTTAAACAATTGACAATTTAAACTAGGGCATCAATTTTGTATTAAAAATGCCAAAACAGGACGAAGAGAAAAAAGGATAGATAAAACATTTCTATTAAGTTATATATATATATATATATATAATACTGATCAGTCATATAAAATACCAAAGGATGAAATGATCAAAAAATTAAATTAGTTTATATTTAAGTGGTGATATAAGCATGCTTGATTAAGATTTTTATTGTTATTTGTATAATTAATTTTTAGGAAGAATATTTGATATTTTTTACTGTAAAAATAATAAAAAGAGATAAATTTATAATTTTTAAAATTTAAAAAATTATAAAAAATACTTTTTTATTTGCAGGCCACTCACCAACACACTGTGGGTTGTGCAGGTTGGTAGAATTATAACCCGTGTAGGATGTGGACTATGCCAATCCACAACCTGTTAGGGGCCAACTCACAAGCTGCTAATTGACTCATATTATCAACTCTATCGACACTATGGGATGAAGGAGATGAGAATGAAGAAGATAGAGTGCAACACATTTTTGTGTGCTTATGCATGTGGTGATGGCATGTGTGCGTTTAGATAGAGACACTTAGTGAGTTAGTGGATGAATTTAGATCCTGTTTAGTTACTAGAAGAAAATGGAATCAATTGAAAAAATTAAGATAAAAATAAATTAAATCACCATTCTCCTTATAATAAGCATGATGCAACTTGTTAATATATATTACAAATGTGAGAATTATCATACCCTTAAAAAATCTCACAAATCATGATTTCCAACTATATGAACTAAATTACACATCTCCCTTATGAATGTACTTACCTATTCCCTTTGATCATCTTATTTTTACTTTTAATTTTTAAATCCATTACATTCAATTCTAATAAGCAAACAAGACTTTAATTATTTTTTTAAATATATTAATATACTATGCCAAACCTAAACAATTCAACCTCTATAATTGTTTTTTATATATAACAAGTCAATTCTTATAGTATTTTGTTTTGAAACACATTTCAATCTTTATAATTTCTTAACTCAATAGACTATAATGAATATGTTATTTTGAGTTAGAGTTCAAAAATTGAATTGATAATTTTAAAAAAATGAGATTAAAAGTTATATTTCTCTATTTATCTTTATAATTATAATTATAATAATGGTAGTGTAGTGGAAAAAATAAAATTTTGGTCCTTATACGTATTATAAATTTGATTTTTAAAGTTGGTCCTTATGCTTATTATCAAGTTGATCTTTAAAGTTGCAAACGTTAAAAGCATTACTCCCTATACAATTTTAGATGATGTGTTTTATTCGAGTCCTGCTCAGCATAAATGTAGATTTAAAATTGTTTATGGATTAGCATTATTTTTATTAGGAAGTATAAAACCGTATGTCATTTTATATGAGACTTCTTGCTGGCTTGCATTGCAATTCAGTTTACGCAATTTTTTATGGCCCCATAAACTCGGCATAGCTCAGACCCTAGGTTCTGTTTGGTTTGGTTGAAGTATTTTGATGGAAATAGAATTGAAAAAGGAAATGGACTAAAACTTGGAAAAGGAAAAGGAATTGAATTTAAAAATATGTTTGGTATGATTAAATTTTTTTAAGCATATAAATTAAATTGATTTTAAAATATGAAAAGACAGTAATATGCCTACCACTTTCAACCTTCTTGTTCTCACCCATCATTCATCAGCGATGCAAACCCATAATCAATTAGAATACTGTAAAATCAAACGACTAGAATTAAGCTCACAATCAACCCACAATGTAAAATGATGTAACAACAATCAATAAAACCATAGCTGTAAAAAGAAAAGAAGAAAAAGAACATGGCAAGTCGATGTTCATGGCTTCTCTAACCTAAGCTAGATCCAAAAATGACCACCGAGGGATCTTCCACCTCTGTTGACAATCAAACTCATCCCATGTTTCACAAACTCATCGCATATCTAACAATCCGGACCTCAATTTTCGTCTTTTTGAAGGAATTAAAATGAAGCACGAGATCATCACTCTCCCTGGATATAATAACCCACTTCAGTTGCTCAATCACCACATCATTCTTGTCATTGAAGATGGGCTTGACAACGGTCACCCTCGTCTTCAGTCACAGTTCATCTTCGATCGCAGACGTCCTCGCTTTACATCACAGCTGCTCATTGGTGATGCTCTTCAGTCTATTTGTCATTCGTTGGCGCAGTTAGGTTGTGAACAGCGGAGGTCAACAAAGATCGTGATGGGCGGTAGTGGTTAACAAAGATAGTGATGGAGGGAGGAGGTTGGTCACCGAGGTCAAAGAAATAGAGGAGATGGAGAAATGGAGATCAGAAAAGGATTATGCCAGGAGGGTAGCTTTGGGTTTGCACTATTTTTATAAGGACAAATTGGGGATAAAAACTATTTCCCAAGGAATTTTTTTTTCCCGGGGTTAGCTTGTGTATCCAAATTCCATTCTCTCACCTGAAAATTGTTTCCCAAGAATTAAAATTCATCTGTCAACCAAACCTAGGATAATGGTCTCTTCCGCTCTCTTTCCTTTCCTTCTTTCAAATTCATGTGAACCAGGACAAGGCCTTAATTTCCTTCTAATGTGAATTGTGAAGGGACAAAATTCCACGTAGTTTTGCATGTAACTTATAGTCAGAAACTTATGTCTGTTTTCATCGTTAAGAACTTGTCTAAGTAAGCGGGGTGGCTCTAATTTATATTATATGAGCTATCATTTTAAAATACCAAGGTATATTTAACAGAGTTCGATTAAGGAATAGACAGAAAATCACAAATAAAGTTTAGAACACAAGCAAGTTCATTTTCATCTTTGTTCTCCAGGCTCGGGATCTTCTGCTGCTTACAAACGACAGCGGCACCACAAAATAAGCCAAGATATTATTCCTTACTGCTTGAAAAGCCACCCTTCTTAGGCCTTGTTGTTCCATGATTGCCAGTGGCATTACTTCCGACTCTGCAATTAAATAGGGGACCAGGAGGAGATTGCGTTGGCAGATGATGCCCATGAACCATAGCAGGGAACCCAGCAGCAGGGATTCTGTCAAACGACAATTCCATCCATAAATGACGATCAATAATGATGAATTTCAAGTTCCACATAAAAATAATGGCCTCAGAATAAAAGCTCCAGGATCAAGCAATAAAATACCTACGTTTGGATATTGTTTGTCCACATTTCAATCACATTTGTACCCCTAAAAGTAATTCTTGTTTCATAAGTTGCTTGCCCCCTCCCAAAAATATTTTCAGATCCAGGTGTAAGCACAAAGACTACTGAAATTCGGCAGACAAGTGCTTTTGATTCTACCAAAATTAAACCCGCCCAAACTAAATTATACTCTATTACACTATCAATGTATTGGTGGGTTAAAAAATATGAAATTGAATTGTATTTTAAAGAAAGGAAAAAGTAACTGGGTCTAGCATAAGATGCAGAGAGAGATCCGAAGTAGCTCAAGCGAAGAACAATTCTGATCTCTTGTCTCTCCACCCCGACCAAAAATGTTGGGAATGAGAATCTAAAAAAAAACACCAAATACTAGAATACAATTTCTGGAACTTAAAATCAACATGCCTTCTAATGGTCCAACAATATCCACAAACGGGACAAAAACATAAGCTTAGGTCTCATTCAAATTTATGTTAGACAATAAATAACAAAAACACCGTGAAGGTACCAGAGTGCCTACTTGGCTATTATGAGGGATAAAGAAAGATAAATTATATATTCGCCGGACTAAGAAAAGGTGGCATATTTCATTCTTGTAGTATTACTGCACAAAACCTCAATGAACTATGTTAGTCTATAAGGCGCACTTTGCATTTCTATTCTTTAACATGCTATCAAGGATACATGCTTAACAAGCTTCCTCGCTCAAAATAAAGTAACAATAATCCCGATAGATGCTACAGAAAAACCAAGCACAAGCACAGAAGGAACTAGCTAGGCCAAATCACAAGCCATCTGATCATGAAACCAATATAATCAAGCAAAGTTGCTTTCACATAATTTAAAGCAGCCGATGATCTCCCTCACTTTTAAAATATAATGCTTCACGTAAAACACTAAAAAAAATATTGAATGATATTCCATGCGTAAGCCTTACCCAACAAGAGCACGGCAGACTCCAGCTTGTCCACAGAAGCACCAAACGCAGTGTTTGATCGTAAATAAAGACGTAAGGCATGGTTCTCAGCATAGCAGCACTGAAGTAAGTACCCCAGTTTTCTGCATTCTCCCTCAAGATACCTGGATTTCATCTCAAGATTTTTCACATATAGCTTTTTCCTTTCCCTGGATCTTACTGCAGCGTCCCTATTTCTTATCTTCCTGAAAATCAGATGCAGAACACAATCCTTAGAAGTCTAAGGATGCCAGCTCAAAGCAAGCTCCATTCACATTCTGTTTACAACGATGTATTTATACAAAGAATAACTGGATAAGTAAAGAAAAACAAACATAAAAGAAGAAAATGTTCTATCAGTAAATTTAACAAGTATCCTAAATCATTCTTCACATCTACATCAAGAATCGAGCTTCATTGAATTAATCTTTTACACATTATGATGAGACAAGATAGCCAGTCTTGGTTGAAAAAGATTACTCATTGAACCAAGAGCACGTAGAGGGAAAAGCAAAATTGCAACTAGAATGTAAAACGTAGAAAGGACATTAATCCCTTCCCAAATTCAAATCAGGGGGTGCCAGCATGTGGAAGTGCAAGTATTGGGGGAAAAGATATGTAACATGCACAAACCTTCTTCTTCTTCTTCTTCTTCTTCTTCTTTTTGGTGTAAAGTGCACAAGTCGTTTTCGTGACAAAGATATTTTCACTACTCTCCATGCAAATTGGTTATAACAAATTCACAATTACACCCCACCACACATTTCCAACGATAATTACATCAGACCTGATGCCGCGAGAAAGAACATTATCAACATGCAAAACGCAACGAAAGGCCTTGAATAATATAAACCACTTTCAATAAACGAAGGAATGAAGATAATAGCAGTATAGCTTGACAGAATACTCCTTCTAGTTTGAATAAAATATGATAAAAAGCATGTAACCCCACAAAAATGATTCACAATATAAACCACTTTCAACAAACGAAATAACAAATAATGTAACAGTTTATTGCTCGGAATGGAAAAGAGGGGCATTGATAGACAAGAATCTCTTAATTCTTTTTTTCAATTTTTCTCGTAATTAGAAGGTGATTGTAACTGGTAAAAAATATAAGGTTATGGTGTTCCAGGATTACTATCAAATTCTTCTATCACCATTCCGCTCCATCATCAAAAATGAAAAGCAAAAACCAGACAGGAACCTTATTTCCCCCATTCCATTTCGTACCAGGCATCTAGACACACCCAATACCTATGTAAAGGCAAAGTATGTAGCGTGATCCGCATGTACCAATGAGTCAATCTAACATGAAAACAAATTCAAGCAGTACCTTGCACGCTTTTTGATAGCAGGATCATCGACGACAGGCGCGTCGTTGTCCTGGTCCAAAGGAGAATCAATTGCAGGTTCACCAGAGGGTTTTGGATCCTGTTGGACCTGGTCGACAAGTATGTCGGCCAAAAACTTATCGCAGAACTCTTTAGTACTAAAATCGGTGGGGGATTCCGAAACAGGGTTGTCGTCGTCATCCATCAACAAGTTCTGAATCTCGAGCATGTAATCAGGGGAGGGATCGGAGAAAGGCCCATCGACAACAACTGGGGAGAGCATACTCTCGTTCGAGATGTTGCCCCAGTCAATTTGTTTGATTAAGTCATCGTCCACAAATGCAAGATCATCCATGAAGAAATATTTCACTGAGAGACGAAATTTTAGTAGGGCACCACATCCGGCTGGGTCAAGCAGTCTGGCTATTAAAAGCGGCCGTGGTGCAGTCAGCAGTGTCTTCGTGCGTAAGGGAGTGAAATTCGACTACGTGGATCTCCACGCCCCGTCACCCGCCCAATGAAATGCAGCCAAATCATACGGAAAGACAAATTGCAATGCCTCATATTTTATTTTAATTATAATATTAACCAGATTGATAATTTGTTCTGTTTTTATAAATTGGTTAAAATTTTTAAAAATAAAAAAATATCTTAAAAATATTTGGATTTAAATAATCTTTAAAATTATTCTCATTTTTTGTTTTTTTATAGAATGTCAAATATATGCAATAAAATGATAAAAATAAAATAAAAGTTAAATAATAACAGTATATAAGAGAGAAAAAGAAGCACTGAAAACATTCAATGAACACAAGAAGCTGTACGAAGAAATAGACTTTTCATTGGAAGGATGAAGAAGAGGCGCTGTGTTACGAGAACAAGCTTCAGACGAAAAAACTCCTAACTTCATCCCTCAATTTTAAACAAAAGAAAATGAATCCCCCCCTTGGTCATCTAGATTCCAAGTTTCGACATTTACAATATTGATGAATCCTGAAGCAAGTTACAAATACATGTAAAAAGAAATTTGGATGATTTCAAAAATGGAAATTTCTTGAAGATTTCTCATTTTTGTTTTTTATATACAATATTGATGAGCACTCATCTTGCTCAGGGATGATCGGGATCATTAATTTTTTTTTAAAATGATCTCTACCATTGACTTAAAATTATTTTTAAATCATATTTATTAAAATAAAAGTTATAAAAAATTATAATATTAAATATGAATCATTTTTTATGCTTAGTAGAGGATAAATATCATGGTACTCATCACCCGTAATAAGATTTGAATAGTCTAAATTTAAACTTTTTATTTTTATTTTATATTTATTCAAATAAAAATATTTAAAAAAATAAAAATATTTAATATATCCGTTTATCATCAATTTGACTGCATAGATTTAATTTAAATGATCTAATTTAATATTATTTTTAATAAATTTTATAAATTGACTATCCAGATGTATTTTCAATAGTATAAATATAATTTAAAAAGTTTAATTTAATATTAAAAAATTTATAATTTTAACTAATTAATATTCTAAATATACTTTGAACAGTTCATATTTAATAGTTATAATTTTTTATAATTTATATATATTTTTATTTTATTAAATAAAATTCAAAAATATTTAAAAATAAATTTTAAGTCAATAGCAAAGATCATTTCAGGAAAAATAAATGGTCTAGATCATCCTTGAGGATGATGAGCATGCTCATGTATGAGAGCATCGAATGTGATTTCTTACTAGTATGGCTTGCTATCACACATCAACATTAAGATCAACTTCTCTCATTTCTTAAACACTTTTAATTTCTTATTTTATATAACTTATAAAATTTTTAATAAATTTACTTGATCACTAATTTGCACTATCTAAATTTAATTTGAATGGTTTAAATTTAATATTAAAATCTTGTCATAATTTTTATAAATGACTATTAAGATTTACTCTTGGATTTAAACCTTTTAACTTGTACTTTTTTAAAAATATTTTATAGAAAATGCATTTGAGAATATTCTATTTATTTTAAAAATTATATTTATTAAAATAAAAATTAACATTAAATCTATACTACTTTACAAAATATATCCAGATAATTAAATAAAAATTATAATAAAATCAGTATTAAATTGGACCGTGTAAGTTTATTTGGAACATTTGGACGATCCAGGTTTCTCCCAAGCCCCAGCTCTCAACAGAGGAGTAGCAAAGAGAAGCTAGGTTCTCAACATCAACCACCGTTGCCAACTACCTCTAGCACTCACCGCCTGCCAATTTTAAACCATTGCAATTAGCTATCATTATCAACCATCAAAATTTGTTATTGTTCCGAACAAAGTACCATCAGTCAATGTCAACGAACAACGCATGCATAAGGTTTAATTGACGAAGAGGGACATCTTCGCCATTGCAACTTAATAAATAAGGGTAATTTTATCTTGATATTTTAATTTTAAATTATACTCAAATATTAAGAAACTTGATTATGATTTTTAAATTTTATGAGATTTATTATAAATAAATTTGCTCCTGAATTCTCCAAAAAAAAAAATAAAGCTCGAAAAGTAAATTTGATTTGACTAAAAAAATTAAGGTGTCCAAGAAAAAAAAAGAAAATGAATAATTTAAAGTGTGTTTGATTTTTACTTTCATAAAAGTTTATTTGTTAAAAATTTATTTAATAAAAATTAATTTAATGAAAGTTAATTATTATCAAATCACACTAGCTTGATACGCATGGCCTTTGACTTTGGTTGTTCTGCCAACAAGGTCACATATAGTTACGTGATTTGGATTAGTTATACAATTGACCTTGCTATCAGTTTGGAATCTATCAAAAGATGTTTGGATGATAATTAATTTTAATCTGTTGACTCATCAGTGAATAATATCATCATAATATTTAATTAATATAAATATTTTTAAATTTAAATAAAATAAATCTTCATAAATAATATATCCTAATACTTTCTCTCAAATTCAAGATACTTTTTATAAAAGCTTATATTGTCTAATCTAAAATCTCAATATGTCATAGCAAATACTCTTTTTGTTTAAAAATATAAAACATTTTTAACTGAATCTCACTCCTAATAAAATACTCCCTCTGTCCCAAATTATAGAACACTTTTAGAAAAGATTTAGCGTCTCAGGATATAAAATATTTTGATAAAAATAAGATTTTATTAATGATACTTTTTTAATATTACCTTTCTCATATACTCTCTCTTTTTAATATTATTTCATCAATGAAGTATTAAATGAAAGGCATTTTTAAAATTTTATATTTTTATTTTAAAAATATAAGATTATAAAATGTATTTAATGAACTTTTATTGGTATGTAAGATTTTATTTAAAAGTATCTTATAATTTGTGACGTAAGATGTAACATCCTAAGTATTCAATTTTGAAATCTATAAGTGTTTGAAAGAGTAATTTGGTCAAAATAAGTGATTTATGAACTAATAATATTTTTAGAATATTAATAAAGTTTTTGAACCTTGGAACAACTTGAGAAATGAGCTAAAATGGTGTATGGGTTAATCGGGCTCGAGTGGGTAACCAAAATGGCATGTGGCATTTGTTGTATCATGTGCGTGACACACACGCCTTGTGCCTTCGGGTTAAATCTAACTCGAGTTGCATTTAATTTTGGAAGGAGAAAAGAAGGAAAATGCAAGAGGTAAAGGAGGAAGAGCTTGTGGCTACTGGAACTTGATCTTGGGAGCTATTTGGAGGCATTTTGGGCAAGATTCATTCTTAGATAAGCTTCATATATCTCTCCCTCTCCCATCATGCGAAATTTCTAAGTGTTTGAGGTAATATGAAACTTGATTTTGTGTTTCCTTGGATTGTAACCAAACCCATTGCCTTAGTTAAAGTCTTGAAAAGTTAAATCAAGCTTTTAAACCTTGATTTATAGATTTTATAGTGATTTAAAATTTTTTGTTAAGGTCTAGACAAACTCTAAGTGAAATTAGGAGTTTTGGAACAATGTGGGTAAAGATTTGAGTTTATTTAAGTGTTCAGATGATAAATGGCATGAATAGAGTGTGTTGGAAGAGTTGATGATGTTAAAGTGAAATTTTGAGTATAATAGGTACCCAAAATTATGCTAAAAGGGTTAATTAGAATGAGAAATTGATATTTAAATGTTTAATCTTGCAGATTGAATAGTGATCAAGCATTGATACACTAGTCTACACTTGTGGAGCTAAGTTTTGACGATGGTAACCCTTTTTGTGACAAATGGGTTGAGGTAACAAGCTTATTATTTACGTGTTTGGATGGTTGTGTGATTGCAAAAGCTTATTCAACTATTATTTTGGACTAGTATAATATTAATATGAAAAATGAATGTGAATTTAAAAACTTCATGTGAAGTGAAATGGGTAACTATATTTTGCACATTTATGGTTTGAAAGTTTTATGCTAAAAGCCTAAAACCTATATTCATGTGTATGTACTTATGAAAGTGTATACTTCATGGTGGAAGAAAAACATGTGAAATCTATATGGATGAGCCAACACTAAGGGATTCATAGTGTAGCAAATTATTAAAGGACTATACCATGAAAAATCTAGGCAATCTGGCAATTCTCTGTCTCGTAAGGGTGCAATTAGGGGTTAATGACACCCCAATTATTCGTAATAGAGGGAATTCATTGTCCAATTGGTTTACCTACGAAAGATTAAGTGATGACTAATCTCTTGAGGGATAGTCAAAGTCGCCTATAAGTTCAGTTAGAGATGTTTAGAGGATGGATGGATTATGATGATCATATGTGTGATAAAATGATTTGGTGAAAATGGATATATATTACACACACACACACATTGAAATTAAGAAAGATAAAGTTATAATTACTTATTTATGGTTATTCATGTTAATAAGTAGTTTTAAATTATGTTAGTTACTGAGATGTTTATCTCACCTTGTGATTAACATTTTATAGGTCTTAAGACTAGTAGCAGCTGGGGAAAAGAGTTGGGCCAGGAGTAGCGAGACCACTAGAAGCCCTAAGTTTTATGTAATGAATTAGTAATGTTGTAAACAAATATATTTATAAGTTGTTATAGTAATACATGCATATATGGTGTTTGATGTGCTTGTGTGAGTGTGTGTATCTTAGCCTTAAGATATGATAATGTGTTTGACGATAAGAAATTTGGCCATATGTATGTGATTTATGTAAATTTATAAAGATGTGATAATGTGTTTGATGGTAAGAAATTTGGCCATGTGTATGTGATTTATGTAAATTTATGAAGATGTGATAATGTGTTTAATAGTAAAAAAGATAGCCTTATTGTGTTATAAAGGGCAAAACTGTGCGCGCGCGCGCGCTAATGCAAGTGAATGATTGTGTGTTTTGAAATGTTTATATCAATCTTTGGTCAAGTGAATATGCATTTGCACATAAGTGTGCAAAAGGCCTTACCGTGTAAGGAGGTGGTTAACTAACCAAAATTGCATATGATGATACTATTGAGGATATATCTGGTCAATAAGGTGGGCAATGTCTTATTGGATATGATTAAAGCTTTAAAAATGGCTAATGACATATACTTTGAATTTGGGATGTGCAGATGGGTGAAAATGTCATTAAATAGTCTTTTTGCATTCAGATATTCAATTTTTAAATGACATATCAGATTGAAGTGAAACTTATGTTATTAGTTAGAAATAAGCCACGTGTAAGTATTTGAATCACTCCAATCAAATATCGTATGAAAAAACATTGCACGTTAAAAGCTTATATCAGTTGAGCTATTTTTGATAGCAGAAATTGATATATGCATTGCGGCGCATAATGCACATGTTTCAACATATGATTCACTTTGCCTAAAATTTCAATTTTGTCCCTATGTTATCAATTATAGTATTTATGCAATTCAAATGCTTTTGTTGTGCATAAATATTTATTTTTAAGTTGTTTGAATGATTTTAAAAAATTTTAAAGATCCCTACTTTTAAGAATTAATTTCTATATTTTAATATTTGTGGTTATGATAATTTAGAGGATGAAAGGACTCTAATTATTTATGTGTAGTATGTGTTAAAGTTTAGTAATGTTAGGAAGGGGAACATTACAAAGTTTATCGAGGATGAACGAAGAAGAAAAGAAAGTTGTAGAGACCTAAGCAATATGAACTATAAACAAGGTGAGAGATGAATCCCAGCATAAGCAATGAAGAATTTGCATTGCAAAAACAAAAAGAAAAAGGGAACAATGAGATGCTGCTGTAAATAGTGATGGGTGTAAAGTCCAACAAATGAACTATGAACTTCATTTACACATAACACAATGCTAGAATAAACAATCACAAAACCTTTAAAAGTAGCTTTGAAAATGTAAGATCTCATCTTTGAATTAGAATCACACAAATATAAGTTTCAATCTTAATGAAAGCATCTATAAACATACAAATACCATAGCCTTGAAAAAAGGCTAAATAGACATTTTTCTCAAAAAAAAGCAATGAGCTGCATCATATGATATAGAGCCACCAGATCACACTTTATGACATGCACTGTGGTGCACATGCCAAGTTTTACCGTTATGATAACTAATTTAACATAAACTTTCAATGTGTGTCATTTTTACAAACGACATCCGATCATAATAATTCAAATGACCACACAAAGTTTAAAAAACAAGCTAACTAATGAAGTAAATTCGAGCATGATCCAATTGTCCAAACTCAATTTAAACCACTTGAGTGCAAAAAAGTGTTTTTCTTTCAAAATTTAGCACTCCAAATGTTAAAATTCAATCTCCTGCCTCGTTAAACTACTTTGGACCTTAAACCAAATCCAAAAAAACTAAAAATACTTATCACACAAAATCATATATGAAACATTACATGCCTAATTTGGCTACTCAATGCAACTTTTCATGTAGGTAAACTTATATGAACTAACCCACACAAATCACATAAGTACATACATTTCTTTAGTAAATACATTTCTTTAGTAAGACAAGTCATGACCTTTACCAAGATCGAACCTTGCCTATCAACAAATACTTCCAACTTTACATAGGTACTTATAACTTAGGCACCACAAGCTAGAAACCACAGCTCAACATATATCAAGAAGCACTTTCCATCAAAATAATAAAATTACACACTTACTTGAAATAACATTTAAACCTATCCATTCTAAAACATACACTATAAAAAGGGCGAAGATGTAACAAAAGATAGTACGAGCAAGTCTCTAAAGGAATGCATATCCATATATGCATTCTAATTGGCAACTTTCAACACTATTAACAAATATACATTCATATCCCGAGTAACAGAACAACTATAATAAGCAAGACTACTCTTCTTGTACTTCCTTTCTTGGCCCTTTTGAATCCTCAAAACCTGTAGATATGAAGTAACGAGGTGAGACAAAAGTCCCAATAACTATATAAACTCAAATACCAATTAACAGACAAAATTATAAATAAAGGATAGAGTAGCATTAACACAAAGATTTCAAACACATATTAAGTTCATATGTAAGCGTGAATACAATCACATTAATGATGCAGATCACAAATATCAATGTATGAACATGGTACACTAATAATTTCCACAAACCTCCAAATCTTCCAATCAAACCTATAGGTTTTATACAGGGCCTCTTTAGTTGGTTCAAGCTCACCATCAGTGGAAGAGGTAGGGCCAATACCTCTTTACCATTAATGGACTACAATTTTTTCCTAACCAATTGGCGAGCCGTAGAATACTCCCCTTACCAGCCACTCACAAAGTGTTGGGGAATAGCCCAACCATGCACCCCGGCTATGGTACTCATAAGGCAATAAGCATCACACACACACCAAGACCATGGTCTATACATCTTTACAAGGTGAACTCCCACTTCTAGCTATGTGAATGCTCATGCACTTCTAAGTTCCACTAGCCGATCATAGTTAATACTTTAGATCAATATTTCTTAGATTTACACAAAATAGGGTCACATGCATCTATCTTTGCCACACCACACATACATCTCGTGCACCATTTCCACACGCTTTCCACATACAACACAAGCGTCACTCTCATATCCAATTATATCTCCATAGAACATGAAAATTAACATGATATCTGATAGAGATGCTGAATTTATCAACACCTATTTTTATATTTAATATGCTTCCTTTCCACATTGACATTATTACCAATACAAGTTAATGATCATAGGTAGGAAAGAGTAACTGCACAAAAGAAGAGGAACTTTTTACATGCAATTATCAACAAATGGCAAAAAAGTCAACGACAAAATCAATGGATTATTCTTCAAATTTACACATAATCAAAACTTGTTCATCATTGTAAATTTTTTAATTCTTGCATTCTAAAATAGTTTGGACTTAAGTGTAGATTCAAAAGCTTGCATAAAAGATGGGGAACAGCTTTGATGAAGATAGTGCCTTGAATATTGACTTCAATGATAGTGGAGAAGATGTGGATGAAGGTGATGAATATTATCTAAGTAACATTGGCAAGGTCAATATAAAATGTAGAGAAAATTCATATGAAGAGTGTGAGAGAGACGGTGTGGAGGGCCTTGAAGACGAGGAAGAAGTTGGAGATGAAAATAAGGAAGGAGATAGACTTATTAATGATAGGTTTCCAATGCATAAGTTGCTAAAACAATATGAGTGAATACAGGTGGGAGGTGAGAACCCTTTACAACGCCGGTGAGGATTTTAAAGAAGCCATAGTATGAATCATATGTTGTGCATGCATGTAAAGGGCTTTAAGTTTATTAAAAATGACAAGGAAAGAATTAGAGTAAGGTGCAAGCCAAATTGTAATTGGAAGGCATATTGTGCTAAGTTAAAGGGAGAAGAGACATGGCAATTTAGGATGATCAATGACAACCATACATGTAGTAGGGAGGCGAATAATAAATTGTTAAAATCCAAATGGCTGAGTAGGAGCATTCACAAAATTGTGAAAGACAATCCCAAGTGTAAATTGAAAGATATAATTGAGAGATTTAAGAGAAAGTGGAATGTAAATATTTCAAAGGCAGTCACTTCAAGAGCAAAGAAAGAAGCATTAAATAACCTCCATGGGTGTTTCCAAGAACAATTTTGAAGGACGTATGATTATTATCATGAGCTAAACAGTTCTAATCTTGGCTCTACAGTGTTGTTAACAGTGAATAAGCCACCTGACTATGATGTAGAGCTTGACACTCAAGTTCCATCTAGAAACATGCTTCCTAAACATGTAGACCAATTATTGGGTTGGATGGCTGCTTTCTTAAGGGGCCATATAGAGGACAATTATTGGCCGCAGTCGGGAGAGATCTTGATGATCAGATGCTCCCCATTGCTATTGCTGTTGTACAGGCAGAGACCAAAGATTCAAAAATTGGTTTCTATCTAATTTAATTGAAGACCTTTGTGGAACAAACAAGTGCAAATGCTATACTTTTATTACAGACCAACTTACGGCCAGCAACAGAATATCTAGACATACTTCCACCTCCACAAAGAAAGCCTATCGGTGGACCATGAAAAGCAAGAAAAAAGGATCCAAATGAAGAAAAGAAAGGAAAATCTAAAATGAGAAGAACTGGTTTTACAATAAAATGTTCAATTTGTGGCACTAACGGCCACAACAACAGAAGTTGTAAGGATTCAAGCCACAATGAAAGTCATAGCATTCAAACCAATGAAAGCATTACTCAACGTAGCATATTGAGTACCTCAATGAGCACACAAACAAGTATGCAGTCAAGTGAGGTGAAATCTATTAAGTCAATTTTATAAATTTTGATTAATTATGAACATTTCTTTAATAGCAACATAAACTTTTATGCAGGGGGTATCATGTGAACCATCAACTCATGAATCAACAACTTGGCTAAATGCGCAGATGAGACAGGTATTTAATTTTTTTTTTTAAATTGCATTACAAATTATAATAATGTATAAAACGTATATGACTTACCTAAATGTTTTAATGTAGGAGACTTTAAGTCAGCCTACTATACAAAGATCTTGGTCAAATGTGCCATAATGGAAGCAACAACACCAAGCCATCCAATTGATACAGCATCAAGTCAACCAAAGGCTACAACCAAGCTAAAGCATTTGATTTTTATGCTTTTGTTTCTAAAGAAGATCATGTTTAACTTTGGATTTACTTTCCATTTACACTTTAGTTTTCTTTACAAACCTGTTCATTCAAGTGAGACATGATTCTACCTAACATTTATACAGAAGCATTCCAATGGGAATGGTGAAATAAATACGGTAAATGACATACATATCTCTTAGTTACTCATATTGATTTAAATGCCACTAGTCACCAATAAAAAATAGTGATTGTGACTATGCAAAACAATGATGACCAAGTGCAATAGAAATGCATCATAGGTCATATAATGCCGCGAAGTGTTCACTATTTCAGGCATTGCTACAATACTAACCTATACAATGTGTGGTTTATTAGCATGATCATATAATATGAATTATATAGTTTAATTATGATGCCTTAGTGCAACACAAGGAGCAAAAGAATAGTGAATTCCACTTGCTCTAAATTCAAGTGCTGTTGTAGCCCCAATTCTTTTGAGTTAAATATGCATCTCTACAAGTAAAAAATAGTAAGATAATGATGATTCAACTCTCAAGAACAATGGCATTTCTATATTAATTCAAATGCTGTTATACAAGCAAGGCGTTATAGCATCAATTCTGGGAAAGTAAGGAATTATGCTACCTGCAATCGCTTTGCACATAGTTAGCAAACATCAAACAAGTTTATAATTTTTAGCAAAAAAAAAAATAATAATAATAGAATTATAACTTGCAGATTACTAAAAATGGACTACGAGTATCCTGGCATCTTTATTAAATTTTTGTGAAATCCTTTCTCGACTAAGCACTCAAGTCAGTTTGATTCGCCCATCATAATGCTAATTGATAGCATTGAATACTGGTGGCGGAACTTCATCAAGCCGAAGTTTGATGACCCTTTCACTATTGCTTCAAATATCTACGATCGACCATGCTAAAGAAAAATAAGAATGAAAGAACCCATAATTGCAAAATCCCAAAGATATCAAGACATTCCCAATAACAAAAATCAGATTCGAAAGAACATTAACACCAATGACACAATTTCCTACACACAACCAACAAATAATTTCAAAGCCTTGGCTCAATTGAACAAAAAACCTCACCTCACTCTCAAGCTTCAACTCCGAAAATGGTGACTGTAGGAAGCTTCCTCCACATCGCGTCCAAGAAACCAACGCATCTTCTCCTTTTGTTTGCTCTTATAACTGAAGATTTCCAAGAAAGCAGCCTATCTGTCTAACCACCACTGACAGAATCCTTCTCATGCTGCCATCGATAGAAGCCCTTCGAACATTTTAAAATCAGAGTTGGTATAGAGTAAGTCGAAGAAGAAGCTTGATGATTCGCAGAATGGATTTCGAAAAGGAGACGCTAGCTGTTGTAGGAAAAGAAGGGGGAATGGGAGGATGAGATGATGAACAGAGCAGCCATTGTCGTCGAAGAGAAGGAGAATTGATGGTCATGGCGTTTGTTTGGGAAAGCAAAAGACATATACGGAGAAGCCGCCACGCGTGTGGTTTAGAATTTTTTTATTTTTAAATGTAAAAAAATTATTTTCAAAAAGTATGCTTTGTCAGCCTATAAAATTGCACAACCACCGTTACAGTCATCATTTGCGTTAAATTTACAGAACCAAAGGTTGCTTTATAAAATCAAAAATTAAATTAAAATTTCTTTTAAAATTAAAAGATTAAAAGTATATTTTAATTTATAAAAAATAATAATAAAATTGTAGCTAAAAAATTTGGAAAACACGTATGGGATTACATTATTAAAAAATAAGATAATCGAATTTAATCTTCGATTAGATTCAAAATAAAAAAACTAAGATCAAAAGAAAATAAAAAATTAATATCTTTGATCATAAAAAAAAAAGGAATCAAGTTAAAGTCTTGCAAAAATAGAAATCATTTGAAGCAATCAAGGGATCTTCAATCTAAGCAAAATCACACATCTTATTCTTCAAAATCAAATTGTATATAATTTTCATGATGTTAGGAGATGACGCCTTCAATGCTTGGTTTATACACTTTCTTGAGTCTTTCGTTAAATGGGTTAAAGTTTTGATCACTCAAACTATGTTCTCTAAGACATTGAACACGCCTAAGAGCTCTCCTTTGAGCTTGACGGGTGTTTCAAGTGGTTTATAATTTTTAAACCTCTTGCATGAAACAAAACAAGGCTTGCTTCATACTTTCTTTAAGCTTGATGGGTGTTCCAAGTGGTTTGTAGTTTTTTAATCTCTTACATGAAATAAAACAAAGCTTGTTTTATGATTTTAATTTGAGTTCTTGTCATTAAGCCTTTAATGTATTGTAGTTGATCTTTTAGCATGTTGGATTCCTTAAACCTCTTCTTTTTATACCTAGGGTTTTCTTTTAAGTTGGCACGCCATCTCCAAACGTCCCTGCCATGAGTGCCATGTCATTAGTGCCATGAGTGCTTGGGGTACATCAAACAGGGCTCCTTTCACTTTCCTTCCATAAAGTTGAAGAAAAGATAGCAATTAACGTTAGGTTCATATCCACATTAATTCACAACACATATAATCAATTTGTCACCACATGGGAGCGTTCCCAGAATCTTCATGAGCATACCGTGGTGGGATTTTGGAAATCTGAACAACACAACGACGATGGAGAAGATGCGAGGAAATGGAGGAGAAGACGCCAAAAGATGAACGGTTAAAAGGTTTGTTTAATTTTGTTTTTTATGGATTGATTATAAGATGCGGCACTTGCATAGGTATAAAATTTGACGTGGCAATAATTCATGGAGGACAAGGATAAACGTCATTAGCCGCAGAAAAATTAGGGATTGAAGTTTCATGCAAGTTAATAATTTAAGGGCAACAATTTATACTTGAGAGACTAAATTTTACATGAGCTAAAAATTAAAGGATCAAAAAATTAAATTTTTTAAAAAATTAAAATAAAATTGTACTCTTGCTTAAAATTCGGAATTGTATATTTTTATTTCAAATTAAAATATTATAGTAAAGTCATATAATAAATACTTAATTTATATTAAAATATAATGTCTAGTCATATATTTAATCATTTTAGCCTGATCACAATCAAATATTGTAAGAAAATTGATAGCTTAGCACAATCAACAAAAACTTGCATGCTATCTCGTCGTTTCTGATCCTTTGTATCGCATGATTGACTCAACTCACTTGCGTCTTGTTGGCATGGCAGGATAAAGATGACATGCAGAAATCTGTAGAAAACCGATGGATAGAGATTTCCTCGCGAAGACTAGAGAGGAGGGCGTTACGTATCAGCGTATGATGATTAGCAAATATCTCCTTATCCATTAGTTTTATACTTTTAATTGTTGGCCAAGTAACGGTCGAAAAGTGACAGCAGTTTACAGTGGAAATTGGAAAAGGGAATGTAAGCGGAGCCAGAAGTCTTGCAGATTGAAGATAAAGGGAATATCTTTCTTTTCCTTTTTGAAGTATGATTTGTGTATTTCTTGGCGTTAAAGTAGGATAAAGCAAAATATGCAACGGGAATCGCTTGCAAAACACAAACAAATAATTGGGCATCAGTGACCCTTAGCCAAGGATTGAAAAAAAAAAGGTGCATCCATTACATAGCTTTTGCAAAATATTTGCTCGCCAACTCACCAAAAATGAAATTTCTGGGAAAAGAAGACTATTTTTTTTGGTTCAAAAAAGGAAGACTCTATATTTATTGATTATTAAAAAAATGAAATGCACTTCCACATCTTCTATAGAGCCAAGAAACGGGCCCTAGTGATTTATAAGATTAGGCTTGAATTTTAAAATTTCAAAAGAGTACACAAATTTATAAAGGTTAATCTTATTTGAGTTTAGAGCTTGAATGGGCTCACTCTTCAAAGTTGAAGGCCAGCTCATTTAATTTTTTTTAGAACAAAAAGCTTTACATAATAACATGGTTTGTTTAATTTTTTTAAATAAAGTTTGGTTTGTTTAATTTTAGACAATAATTTCTTTGATAAAAATAATTGTTTGATCTAATTTAGATTTTAGATAATAATATGATTTAAATTATGTAGGTGCGTTACTATTTTTAAATTATATCTTTTTAACAATAAAATACTTTTATATTTATATAATTTCATGCGTATTGTATGACTTGAATTATGAATTTATAAATCTTAATATTTTATGATGTGAAATAATGATATTTTTGCATAATCAAGATATTGCTAATGTTAAGATGTTATTATTTTTTTGGGATTTAGAGAGGAATAATTTGGTTTATCTAACTTTGATCAATCATTTTGACACTTTAATTTGTTAATATTTATTATCTAAATTAAAAAATTTAAAAGCTAAAAATACCTTAAAATTTTTTATAAGGAACGTCTGATTTTTTAATTTTTTTTGTTAGAACAATATCACATTAAAATTTTAAAAAAATATGTAATATTATCCCATTGTCGGTGTTGATTGTGAGTTGACCGTTACTTGACACGTGTCAGCCATATGGATTTTTAAAAGATAAAAAAAATTCTTTCTTCGTTCTATCTCTGACGCACAGCCGTCTTTCTTTCTTTCCTTCTTCCTCTTTCTATGATTCATATTATTGCCAGCACTACAACTTCCATTAATCTTCTTCTTCCAAACTATTGCTTCTACTACCTCCAGCTTTCCCACCATGCAGGCTCGCTCACCTCTCTCCCTCCTTCTCCCCTTCATTCTCTGCCTTTGTCTTTCTCCCATGCTCAAAAGAAAGGAAAAAGAAAATTTATATCAGTGATAAAGAACACGTGGGTATCAGTTCTCTAAGGTGATAAAGCATCAAAGAAAATTTCAAATGCAAATTACCTATTTAAAAGGATAGATTCATCACACGGCCACGGAGAAATTGAAAACAACAACGTTCAAACCTAACGCTCAAAACTAAAACTAAAATGCAGTAACATGGGGGGGCTGAGATGAGATGATTGTGTGTGTGTTTCTCAAGTGACCAACTTCGAATGCGAAGAAAATACGAGATGAGATTGACAATGGCCATTGCTATTACCTTCTCTCTCAATGCTTCAAAAAAGAAGCACCAGTGGCTCACCAACCGTAAGGTAAGGCCTCATAGTCCACCCCAGGTTACCAATTTGGGAAAGCCACATGCAAGCTCATATTTGAACTGTCTCCAGGCTGTAGTTGATCATGGCGGCTTCTACTCTGACCCTCTTGTTTCAGAGTCGCGATCATTTCCACCAATCCGTTGCCATCATCCTAGGTACAAGTGCCGCTAGAGTGTCGTTGGCGAAGGAAGAAGAACAGCTTGAGGACGCCGGCGTGGCCAAGCAAGTCTAGCTCACCTTCGTGAGAATCAAGAGGGAAAGCTAGAGAGTGCCAAGACGAGTAAGTCGGAACTAGCTCTGGTAACCCTCCACCGTCCACCATAGCGCCTCCATCACCCAACAGATAAAAGCATCAAACGCACACATGCTCTGACTGCCACGCAAAAGAGTAAGAAGATAAAAAGGATTTTTTTTTTATTTTTTGAAAACCCAAGTGGCTGCCATGTGTCAAATAACAGTCAACTTGTAGGCAACACTAATGATAGGATAATATTACACTATTTTTTAAAGTTCTGAAGTAATATTACTCTAATAAAAAATTTAAAATATTGGGTGCCTCTTACGAAAATGTTTCAGAATATTTTTATCCTTTAATGCAATAAAAAATGTTTGATATTTGTTTCAAAACTAATCTTTCCTTACTTTGTGCGTTAAGGCTCTTTAAATTGTATATTAGAATTCTCATGCGCTAGGTGCATGAAAAATGTAAAACCCTGCACACAAAAGAAACCTTGACTTTGGTGGCAACAGCATCTCTCTTTTTATTTCTTCCAACTCCATCATTGGCTGTTATTTGAAATGATTGAGTATCAAAACTAAATATGGGGTCCTACCTAATTATTCCCATGCTGGGTTTTCAAGGGGCATAACGTAAATCATTATATAAAGAAAAAGATAAAAGAAAGGCAATATGAGAATCTGAATTTGGATGGATGGGTCTTGGCACAGGGTAGTTTGTAGCCTAATATATTGGGCATCAATGTTAGGCAATTTGGTGCAGGAACGAAAGAGGGAGAGAGATGTCAAGTGGCAGGAAGAGCGAAAAGGCAGCAATGAAGAAGACAACAACATTGGTGGTGAAGAAATCAGCAGCAGCAGCAGGAGCGGGCGAGTATTTGGTGGCGAGAAAGGCAGGAGGGAGGGTGGAATTCCCGACATCCCCGGAAGCAATATTTGGGGAAGAAATAGTGAGCTTCAGTCACCCACAGCACCCTCTGGTGCAGCTGGAGCAGCCTGAGCTGTATACATGCGCAGGCTGCAAGGAGTACGGATCGGGCAAGAGGTTCGCTTGTCAACAATGTGATTTTCAGGTGCATGACTTCTGTGCCCTGGCTCCTCCCGTCCTCAAGGCCCACCCCTTCCACTCCCACCATCTCATCTTGTTCCATTCAAAACCAGGTAGGAAGCGAGCTAACTGAATCAATTAATTCCCTGTGTCAATTCATTTTATCTTATTCATCATCATCATATTCAGTGAAAGGCGGAATCACGAAATCGAAATGCGATGTGTGTGGGAAACAGAGCAAGGGTTATGCGTTCACATGCAGTGCGTGTGGGTTTATGATGCATCCCTGCTGTGCCATGCTCTCCACGGAAATCGAGTTCTCGGGCCATCCTCACACCTTAAAACTCCTACCTGCAGCCGCCGGCTCAAACGGCGACTCCGGAGGTGGTTTTGTGTGCGGCGAGTGCAGGAGGAGAAGATCGGGGCGAGTGTACCACTGCACCGTGTGCGATTATCATTTGCATGCTGTGTGCGCCAAAAATATGATGAACGGTCTGCAAGCCAATGGAATCAAGGGCCCGGAGAAGAGCAGTGTGCTGGGCACAGCGGCCCGCCTTGCTTCACAGGTCGTCGTCGAGTTCATCGGAGGCTTGATTGAGGGTCTTGGCGAGGGCATGGGGGAAGTCCTCGTCCAGAATGTCTCCCGAGGCAAACCTCCTCTTCCTTCTGCTCATCCAACTTCATCTTCTCACTCTTAATTTTCCCTTCCCAACAACAACCTATCCCCAGCAAATCTTGCTTCCTCCCACTTTCCATCATTATTATGATTGATATATATTGCATGTCCCTGAAATTAATGTTTTAGAAGTTTTAAATTAGATATCAAATATTTAACATTGGGAAGAGAGGGGGGCGAGGCGGGCGCTTCATTATTGGTGCCCAGCTCCTCCCCTCTAAAGTGCCCCCACGTTATCTTTTATGATGTTTTAAAGTCATGGATTGAGAAATTAAATACCGCTTTTTAAATATTATTTTATTTGTCAATGACTTTATAATTTAATGGCATGTTAAAAGTATGTTAGTTTTATTTATGTGAAATAATTTTATTTTTTCATAATAGTTTGGAGGTACAGTGTTTTATTGAATATTTATATACAAAAATTGTAATAGTGATGTGATTTAAGAAATTGTATCTATTTTTTTTAATAAATGGTTGGCATGATGTGCGTGTAAAGTTAATGTACAATATTACGGAGTGTATTCTTCAGTCTTCCTAACCGTGTTCATTCTCAAGAATAAATGAAATAATTTTGTAATATTAAAAATTTTAATATTGTTATTGTTATTTATATTTTGATAAATTAATAATTCCCACATATCTAGTTCTATTACAATTTAAAATTATAACCATTTGATGAGCCTAGAGGCCTGTTCTAGACATGTGAGTTTTTGAAATCTAACTTATCTAAATTTTAATTTATTAAAAAAAAGAAAATGATTAAAACAAACTCTTGAAATATGTTAATGATAATTAGATACCACAAAATATCATAATTACTTTATAGTCCCTAGAGACTTGCCTGACTTTTTTTGTAAAATGACGTATTTGTTCCTATTTTAAAATTTATTAGTAAAGTCCAATAATTAAAGATTAGTTACTATTCTTTGAAAAATGACTACAACAACATTGCAAATTACATATTGTTTTGTGCAATTTGTTTTAACAGGGAAGTCCAAAAAGAAAAAAAATTAGTTATTACTTTATTTTGGAAAATAACTACACTTTTTACAGAAATAACTAGAATAGAATAACAAATTATAAAGTGCTTTGAACAATTTTCTTTTATTAGTGAAGTCTAATCAGTAAAAATTAGTTACTACTTTCTTTTGAAAAATGATTAATTTTTTTTATGAAAAAATGAATTGGATGGAATAAGAAACTACAAGTTCCATGACTATTTTTCTTTTATTTTCTAGAAGGTTAAAAAATATTTTTATATTAAAACTAATCGATAGCTAAGTCCTAAAAGAATAATAGACAATAATTATTACATTTCATAATATCTAATTATCATTTGCTTATTTTGGGAATATTTTTCTATCATTATTGAGAATCTCAAATTAAACTCGGAGAGATTAAGCTTGTCATATTTAGATATTATAATCCAAAATAAGGCCTCAATTTATATTGTAAACTCAAAAAGATTAAACTTACCGTGTTGAAGATTATAATCCAGATAAAGCCTCACTTGCTAATGAACTGAGCTAGGGCCACGTTAGAATTATTTACCATTAAACACTAAAGATTAATTTCTTAATATACACTGAGCCAGGGTCAAGTTTGGATAACAATCTCTAAATACTAGAGACATCTTACAAGCTTGTTCTTGAATGTTGAAGTGAAGGATTTATAGACCTCTTTCCCTCCTCCAAGACAAAGTACAACTTACGATACAAATTTGATAAGACAAAGTTCTATTTTCAAGACTCCTTACATACACATTATAAAATAAGACTCAATTTATACAAGAACATAAAGCCAAAATACATAAGGAATAAAACTCCAATTTTCAATACACATAAGAACAAATGCCATGCATTCACATGTATTTAACCCATGCCAGCTTCTACTTTGTAGCTACCATTTATTTGTAGATGGGCTCATGATAAGTTGACAATTAGAAACTCTCTTTTACTCTTTCTTGATGGCTCTCTTGAGTTGGTAATCAGCATCTTTTGATTCATACTCTTCAAGTACTTCATCAAGTGCCTTTTGAATACAATTATATGGATAATCCTCATAATATTGTGTCTCTAATTTGTATGAATCTTGGGAATTTGGTAGGATGGTTTTTATAGTATCGGTATTTGAGTAATATGGGACTCGTGAATTTGATGATTGATTTTGTGTAGAGCTTAGGGTAAGCTACGCCATCCAATCATTAAGGATATCAATCTTAGGCATATGAGGCTCTTTTGGTACAAAAATTGATTAGGAATAAGACTAAGAGAGGTGCATTTCAATTCCAGATGATCTCCTGGATAGTTATTAAGTTCACACAAGAACCTCCTTAGACTCCCTATGACTTTTTTTCATAAATGGGCCATTTATCAGAGCTGCCTTTTTTAAGCACAATTTTTTTTTCAATATTGTAGGGTCGATGGACTATGAAGAAATATTAAACTTTTTATTTTCTTGATGGAACCTTCTGTAGATTATGATCTTCAATCACATGATAAAGTTCTTTCCTTCACTGAGGTATAGGTGAAAACCATTCAGAAGGGAAGTCCAAAGAGAAGAAGCTTCATTTCTGGAATCACATAAGTGGTGGTGAACTTGTAAATGTTGAAGGGTAAAAGCATAAGCATAAAGAGACAAGAGTGCCTAAGTACACCATATTGCTGCATTTGGTATAGGATCTCAAACAAAGGGAATGCCTATATATAGGGCTTGGATATTAAAATATTAAGACTTTGGGTGGATCTTTGTTTTTTTTAAGGAGGAGGTATAGTTAATAGGTGAATTTCAGCTAAGGTTTTTGCTCAAAAGGCCACTAAAACAATTTTATAAGTGGCTTTAGTAGCCTTTTGGGCAATGGATAGAAGGCAAAGTAGTTGGGTTAGTTTGGATGAGGTGATAAGATGTATGTGCTTTTGCACTAGTCTTGAGTGGTAATCAATAATGGTATTTTGATGTCTTTTAATATGGCAGACTTTAAACTTATACCATGAAAATCAATCTTTCTATCAAAGCAAGTGGCAATCTAGAAGTATTTTCTTTTTTTGGTCTAACATTTTTAAGAATGACGTGTTATCTATTTTCACCATAAACTGGTACGAATTGAGGTAGAAGATAAAATTTTCTACCTTTTTTTTTTGAAAGATAAGACTTTTTTATATGCAACATGATATTGCTTCTTTAATTCTTTGTATTCTCTATTTTCATGCCCACAATACTGTCTTTTGCCATCTACTTCTTCAATAAGCACAACTCCTTAAAACTCTTTATTTGCATTAGTTTGCAAGATTCTCTATCCTTTGTTTGTAATCTTGAGCGATGGTGGACATTGGATAATTTCTTCAAGTAGTGAACTACTTTTATTTGTTCTATACTTAAGGGGGTAGATTCTTTTTTTTAGCAATTTTGACAATTTGCTAATATAATTAGCCACATATGGAATAAAGTTTTAAATATAATTAACTATACCCAATAATTGTTGAATTTGCCTTATTGTCAGATTCTCATTAGGAAAATTGAGCAGTTTATGTAATTTTTGCTTTGACATTACCAAAACGCACCATACAACACTACCATGATAATCAGAATTAAGTAAACCTTTACATTAGGTTATTATAATAAATAGGCATTTAAATTCAAAAGTAATAAAATTTGGAATCATGAGAAAACCCTTTTGAGAGAGTGTTTGAGCTCAAACAATAGTTTAAAATATATATATATAAGAGACATGGAAGTATAACAAAAGAAATTATCACAAACATACATCAAATGAGGGTAAGTTGGACATAGTCTAATATGTTCCATCAATCACGACACTGTCATCTGTCACAATGGATAACACAGAGGGGGAAACCCCTCGCTGCGAAACCAACTTTTGGAACATGCCATTTTGCCATTCAACTTTCAATTTGAGCAATTAGCCATCTAACAATTGGCATTATTTTCACAACAATTTACATAGCCATTTATAAATTAGACATTTAGGTGCAAACTGACATTTTTTTCATTTCAAAACATGGCTAAAGGTGTCAAAAAACCCCAAACCAAATGTAATCATAGGAATAACCCAAGAGAATTACCAAGTTTTTAAAAAGCACATAATGAGATCCTAGGTTTTCAAAGCTCAAAACACTCCAAAATACTTTTATAATTAAACAATTAGAGTAGAACAAATTTAAGGAAGTATGTGATACCTATTTGTGATAAAGGAAAGATTAGAAGGACATCAATTCAGCATATAAAACATAGATACACCATGGCATATTGCAAACACACCACACATACTTGTCTTTGTGCCATGCACCATAGTGCATTGCATGATTATGATAGTAATTTTGCTTTCAAATTATAATATGGGGCAAACTTTCGACGAGTCTTGTTTCTCTATTCGATATCCGATTAAGGTGCTTTAAGTATTTATGGAAAGCTTTCTTCGAACTTTAGCCAATGACACTAGTTTTATATTCAAATCACTTTTCAATAAAAAGTTTGATACTCATTTCTAATCTTACTTCTTTATAACATTACTGCACAACTTGGGTGTCCAATGTTCATTTTAAGTGCTAAAAGCTCTTACTAACCTATAGATCATGCTCAATGGACTATATATATATATATGAGCATGTGAATTAATGATGTATGGTAAGTATTCAAATAACTTGTTTGCTTATTACTTTACATGCTCACGTATTGTTCTAGCATATTTGTAGATATATTAGATTATTTGGTTACTAAGACATTGTCTTACCCTTATAGTTATATTTTTATAGGTAAAAGCTCCAACAGGGGTAAAGGAAAGGGGGATACTACCAAGAATTAGGAGAGGTCTCTTATATAGTACTTTCTTTTTCAGTAATTATGTAATAGGATGTGCGCGTGCGCGCGCACCAACTTTAAGACATATATTATTTTAAGGCACTTGCATGATGATATGATGTTATTTTAGTGTATTTTGGCCTAGGTTATTGTATGTGTGATGGAAATTATTGTATGAGGTCAAAATATTAGTACAAGCATCATTATTATGGTAACTGAATGTGTATGGATGGCTATAGTATGGTTATATTGAATTATGCCCTTGCCCCTTGATTTATGTGGAATTGGAGTATTGGTAGCCATGTGGTGTTTGAGGTATATATATGTGCATTTGTTGATTTAATTAGATGTATTATGGTTTGTTTGAGTTAGTCCAAGTGATTCTAAGGTTATTGGCACTTGGTTGGTGGTTTTGAACACTTTTAGGTATGTTTTAAAGTGAAAAAGTGTCTTTTTACATTCGGGTGTCCAACTTCTAAATGGTGAAGCATTTTATTATAGACCTAGTGTCAATAGTTAGATGGCTTAAAAAGCTACACGTGAACATTTGAATTGTTCGAATTAAATGTTAGATGGAAAATGTGCACTATGAAAGTTAGTTCTAAAGTGTTGTCATGTGAACAAATTGCTGTTATGACAGTAGAGGTGTGTTGTGATGCATTACATAGTAATATACATCGCGATGGATGACACATGCTCCATAATGGACGGTGCACTTTAGATCTTGTCCAATTTACCCTCATTTGATGTTTGTTTGTGATATTTTCACTTGCCATGCTTCCATCATTTCTTTAGATATGTTTTAAACTATTATTTGAGCTCAAATTGGGATCCCAACTTTTAAATGTTTAATTTTAAAACGCTTATTTGTTATGATAACCTATATTTGCTTAATCTTGATTATCATGACGGTATTGTGTGTTGTGTTCTGGTAATGTCAAGGTGGACATTACAAATTTAGCTTATGCAAATGCATGTTAATTAATTATCAAGATGCAAATGACAATTAACTATTTTCACAAGATGATTTGCTTTTCAAAATATTGCTACGATCATAATACTAATAATCATGTGATCCGACAAAAGCATATATCAGTTCATATCAATGATAAACATCAAAGCACATATGGAGTCATAATATTAACAACTAAGTGCTCCTATTAAAATTGTACCAGAACATAATAATAACAACCATTTGGCTAGGATATGATATGCATAATTGATATCTTCCTTATACCTTTTTGATATCTCCAACATGAAACTGATGGCTATTTAGTGTTACGTCCATAAACTTGAACCACTTAAGCCTTTCACTCATGAGGAGTTGCCTGACCAAGACTATTACACTTGTAAGGCACAATTTTTTCTAATACTAACGACTATAGGATGTTGTACCTCTAATATAGCCTCCTCATGAACCGATGGAGACTATTTAAGTTCGAATCCCTATAAAAACAGGTTAGACAGTACCTCTACAATAATGGAACAATGAATACTTTTCGATTCCAATGGTTGGCAGCCAGGCTAACTTTCGACTGGCACATACTCTAACTCTTCAGATATTCTCATTTTTTCATGTTCAAGTGAACCAACTCTATTTCAAACCCGGATTTAAGGTTGGAACCACAACCTAAAATACTTGTTAGACCTCTCCAGTTACACCACATTAATTTACTTGATTATCCTTATTTAACGTAGCTAATTACGGGTTAATTTTCTATGATGTTACACTAGGAACCACTTAAATTAACTTACATAGACCTCAAAGCACCTAATTGAATAGTTAAACTTATACCAATATATATCAAACACAAATTAGTCATCAAAGCCCCAATTCAACCTTAATAAAAAGGCAAGAACATAATTCAATAATACAAATTCTATGGCCATCCGTATGTATAAAATTACCAAGGTAATGATACTTGCACCAGTATTTTGACCTTTGACAACAATCTTCATCACAATACAATAACTTAAGCTGAAATACACCAAAATAGCATATGATCATGCAAGTGAACTAAAATAAAATATGTCCTAAGTTTGCGCCCGCGCGCGTGCATACACACACACATTTAGTTACACAATTACTAAAGGAATAAAGCTATACAGTCGTTAGCTCCTTTAATTCTTGGTAATATCTTCCTTCCTTTTGTCTCCATCGGAGCTTTCACTTGTAAAATATAACTACAAAGGTAAGAATAATGTGTCAATAATCAAATAATCTAATCTATCTATTAGTATACTAGAATAGTACATGAGCATGTGAAGTGGCAAATAATACAAGTTATACAAATCCACATACAACATATTAATATAATTGTATTCTAAACAATGCCTGATCCATACCACCTTATATCCTCCTTGTTTCCTTTGATTGAATCTGTGGGCTATTAATTTAATAAGATTGAGTCTATGTAACTAAACCAGCCTAAACTCATCAATCATAGGAAACAACCTGGCTAAAGGTTCCTTCACCATTCTTGAGCCACATATTCCCCCTTTTTGAATACCTGAGGTGTTGTATACTCAATTTATCATAAAGGCAGTACTAAGACTTCCAAACAAGTATAATTGAACACCAAAGTCTCCAGGGTGTCAATGGATACCATATGGATTTCAAACAATACAATTACCTTAAGGTGAACTCTCACCCTTTCATAATGATCATGTTCACAACCCAAACATGCATGGTTACAATTATTCATAAAGGATTTTCAAAGTAAACACTAGCATATCAAAACTAATAATAGACTTTACAAATATTTATAAATACATATATAAGTTTTAGATTAGAAATAATATTTCAAATGTGTACTCTACTTCACATAGAATTTCAAACACTAAATAACATTTACTAATGGAAAAATGTATTTTTGCAAACTCATAACTATCCAAACACACAAATAAAAAAAGTAGATTATTCGATTACCTCAATCCTTTGTCACAAAAAAAGTTACCTTGGCAATTACCAATCCTTTAGCTTCTACTAGCTCAAAAGGATTCGATCAATATTTAATCTACAAGATTAAACACTAACTATTAATTTACAACTTTAATAAACACACTTTTAGCTTAAATTTGGGCACCCAACTAACCAAATTTCCTCTTTGGCATAAACAACACTTCCAACATATCTCATTAACCTTAACTAGCATCTATAAACTTATATAACACTAAATTTTTATCCATATTGCTCTCAAAACTCAAATTTACATGTAAGGTTCATCCAAACCCTAGCTCAAAATTTGAATCCACTATATAATCATCAAACTTAAGTGTAAAAGCTTAAATTTACTCCCCACAAACTCAAAAAACATATTGGGTTCAATTATAACCCAAGGGAGGACGAAATCAATACCCGATTATACCCAACAACTCATAAAAATCACATAGAGAGGAAGGAGATGGAAAGGAAGCTTACCTAAGGGAGTTGCTAGCTTAGAATGTCTTGTAAGTGTTTAAAATATGAAACCCTAGCAAAGAAAATCTCCCTCTTTGTTGCCCTTCACATGCTCCTCTTTCTCTCCCTCTATTTCAACCAATTCTAACTATTTGATTCTATCAGATTTTCGCACATTAGCCTCGACAAATGGCACAGTGAGGCTTGAACCAGTTTTTGGGCCTCACTTGAGCCCAAACTCCATCCTAAACCACTTATAAAGTTGTCTAAAGATTGAATAAACCCATTAGTAGTCTAGAAACACCATAAATCCAATAAATTCTCAAAATTTACCATTTTACCCTTATTAGAAACTTTAAATTCAAATTTTAAAATTTGAGGATATTGTAGTTTAGAGATTACATGTGAGCCAGGTTGATACTAGCCTTCTAGAAAAGCCATACCCAAAAATTCAATTCAGATAGCTCCAATTTGACCTTTTAGCTGAAAGCATAATACATTTTTTTAGAGAATTTTCCAAAATTGGGCCAAAGCATCTTGTATTCTTGCTTATCCTCAGAGAATAATAAGATCTCATCAATGTATAGGGCATTATGTAAAATAGGCTCAAATATTTTTGTCATGAACCTTTGAAAAAGTGATAGGACAACTTTGAGCCCAAAGGGCATAATAGTCCATTGATATTGAGTATTGGGGATATAGAATGTCGTCTTGTGACAATCTACAGGATGAATACCCAGCTACCAAAACTCTACTTTATGATCAACTTTAAAAATATTTTGACTTACTTCAAATGAGGTGCCTAGGTTCCAATCTTTGAAAAACGGAACTTATCATTAGAGAAAAACATTTAGGGGCTTGTAGTCAATAACAAGCCCCTTCTTCCCTCTCTTGACTTCAAATCATTTTTTCACATAAAAAGCTTAGCAAGCTCAATCATATTTTGTGGTGTCAATAAGAATTTATTTGAGAAGAGCAGCACCAGCACAAATATGAATTATATGGTCTATAAACTTGTTGGGAAAATGATGTAAGCAGATATGTGTGTTTAAGTGTATTCTAACTGTGCAGAAGTTACATAATTGGTCATCAGAGCTAATAATTAAAGCCATCACTTTCAAGACATCATTGATTAAGCTAAATCGTTATTCAAAAATTGGAATGTAAAGAATAATCTCATATATAGAAAGGCTAACTTTTCTGCTCATTACTCAGCTAAGCTTATGATTTTTTGACCACTTTGATCATCCACCATCTTGTATTAAAAGGGTAGTGGATGATAAAATGAATTCTTCCATGTAACTACTGATGCAATTTTTGTTGATTAATGAAACGTTTAATTATTTAAAAACCATTTTTTGCCCGATCCTTGTGACCAAGGGCGAATTCACATTGTCTAAACTCTAGACAGATTCGATCGCCTGGTAAATGGTAATTCCTCTTAAAAATTAGTCCTTTTTTTTTTTTTGCCAGAAACAACTATTCAGTTATTGTTCATACATAAACAAAACAATAACCACTATTACATTTCTTTTTAAGTATGGATATAACCTTCGAAAAATTTGAAGTTGCCAACATGCCTCAGGTAAAAAAATCTCTCGATTAAGAGAAGATTAGAGGAAGGAAAAGGATTCAGGCCGAAATAAATATAGAAGATGGCTAAAATAAAACGTAAACACAAATTAAACTATACATAAAATTGAGTATCTATCATTTGGTTAGGCTATACGATCAGCAACCTCAGCAACTTTTTCTTTCTTTCGTTCTTCCTTTTCTGGAGCCGGAAATCAGATCAACTATACAATAATGAAATGTAAGCTCCCCTTGGACTAGTAATTTCAACTGTAACATATAAATCATATGGAAAAATAAAGCACTAGGTATTTTCCCCCCTGGTCAGCTGCTGAGAGGCAGGCGCCACTTGATAATCATTTCCTCCCTTCGGTTGCCATCAAATCTTGTGTAATTTCATCCTGAATGCTAGTGACTCTCATGATTGCCAGTGCCAGCGTCAATTTCCCCTCCCCGACATAAATTATCATAGTCAAGTGTTACACGGTCTAAACTGCTGAGTTTTTATTTAAAAAATATGGTAAATCCAACAACGCATAAATATTTAGGCCTATATGGTCCTGAAACTCTGGCATAAAAGGAAAACAAGCAGCATTCAAGACACTGTCCACAGACCAGCTTAAGTTCCCCGATCCTTGCGGATCATCCAAGCATAGCACACGACAGCTTCAGATATGAACGGACTCTCAACACCATCTCCTCCTTCCCTTGAAAAGCAGATAGCCATGTGGGAAAGAACCATGGGGGAAAGAAAGTATCAACGTGGGACCTTTCCCTACTTTATGCCTTACTTTCATCCTCTTCATCTTAATTTACCAATAGCATTAGATGGTGCCATAATCCAAATTTTCCCATTTGAAGGGAGCAACTGAACCTATTTCAGGGGCTCCACGGAAGAATAGACAAACACAAACGCAGACGGCAGCAATGGCAAGAACTGAATGAATGTAGGGACGGTGAAGCAGTCCCTGGAAGTGTGAACCCAGAACTCTCCCGTTGTAGTGCATTGCTGCAACCTCACACTTAGCACAAGATCTCTGACCTTGTCCCACTTCGTTGCTGGGGCTTGTTTTATGCTGAACACTGAACAATGGTTGCTCTATCTCGGTTTCAATTGTTACTGAAACTTGGCATTTTGCCCTATCAGCAACTTTACGAGCAATCAGCTCGTTATAAGAGTGATTATTTCTCATCATGGCGTAGGCAAAAGGAGTCTGCCCATTTGCATCCGCAAGGGACTCCCAGCACTTCAATCCAATCTGCAAAAAACAAGAGCATAAGCTCCCAGGTGAAGCATAGAGGCAATTGTAACAGATCCAACATACCGCTAAAATCAATAATAACGTTCTTGGTTGTAATTTAATTCCAGTGAACAAGGGTAGAATAATATAATTCACAATGTGCAGACCAATATTCCAGGACCGTATGGTAAGGTCAAAGGTAGCAATCTACTAAGTCTCTATGCAAGTATCTCACTAAAAGAAAAATAGTAGCCAAGTCAAGGAGAATCTCCAAGAACTGAAATAATAATTTGATTAATTCTGAACTGCCTTCTACAAATGAGCAAGCCATATAAATAGACTGAAAAATAATTGAAGACTCTGAAAAACTACCCACTTCGCTGAATTTCAGACTTAGCGGGCAAAACTGACTCAAACAGACTCATGACTGACTTGTTAACACAAGGACATGTTCAACAGGTTCCTAAACTTGGGAATAAACAACTGAACTAATAAAATAAAATATAACAGAAATATTTGAACCAAGTCAGTCACATTTCCTCTTCTTTCTACTGTACGTGAGTGGTGGTGGCTTATTAAGTCTCTCCCCTTCAAATGTCACCTTGTCCTCATGGTGAAAATCTGGATACTGGGCAGCAAATAAGTCATAATTCTCCCAAGTCGCACCTTCAAGTGGCCGGTTTTTCGAAGCCACCAATAATTCCAGCAATGCTCCAGTATATGTTCAGGTTGCAGCAAGAGTTCCAAATCATATGAAATTGGAGGCGCTGGAGAAGATGGTGGTAAAACACCATGATCAGGAAGTAGCAAAGAAACATGGAAGATGAGATGGATCTTTGCATAAGATGGGAGATCCAGCTCATAAGCTACGGCTCCTATTTTCTGTAGAATTTGTAAGGTCCAAAGAGATTTCTGTCTAAAAGGTTGAATGTGCAGCAGCACGTAATCACCTTCATTAAAAACAAGCTCTCTTTGTTTCTTGTCTTGCTGCTTTGTCATTCGTTCTTGGGCCTCTAAGAGGTTATGATAGATGCTCAAATCGATAGAGGAAAATAAGAGAAATAAATCTATTGAGATAATAAAATAAGAATCTCACTTTATATTTTTTTCAATAACCACGCTTAGGAAAATCTTCAAAGGATTTAATGATTTTATTAATGATATGCTAGCTTTTAAGTTGCAAGTCATATTTATAAAGGCAAATACAAACAAAATCTAGATAACTAGATAATAAAAGACTAAATAAAATCTGAAGCTAGATAAGATCTAAATCTAGATAAAAACTAAATATCTAAATGAAATCTCTTAATAAATAAAATCTCCTAAATAATATCCAAACAAAATAAAATCAAATTTAATATATCTCCTATCGTTTTCTTCTCGAATAAGTCTTTAATGGAATCTTATCATTACTCTCCTTTGAAAACTTAACTTGCCCTCAAGTTGAAAAGAGGGAAATTGAGCTTGCAAGAGGTCGTAGTCTTCCTCACTTGATTCTTCCACAATTCAAGCGAGTTATCTTGTGTCCAACGATGTGCTAAGACTTGATTTGGTGCCACATGGAACTCAAAATCAGCAGTGATGGGTAATGAAGCTGGAGAAACAAGTAGATCCATCCCATGAGCAAGGTCTAAAAGAGATGCATGGAAAACGGGATGAATTCGAGCATCGGAAGGAAGTTCCAATTCATAAGCTACCTTGCCAATTCACCTAAGAATCTTATAGGGGCCAAAGAAATGAGGGGGCAATTTCTCAAATTTCCTCTTGGTGAGGGATTGTTGGTGAAAGGGCTAGACTCGTAACTAACCAACATCACCTACGGCATACTCTACTTCCCTCTTGTGCTTGTTCGCATAAGCCTTCATCTTGTCTTGGGCTTTACGCATATCATCCTTTAGGAGTTTGAGCATTGCATCCCTAGTTTCCAATTGATCTTCTAAATCAGCTATCGGAGTTTCACCTTACACATATGAAAGGAGGGGAGGCAGATCTCTATTGTACACCAATTTGAAAGGATTAGATTTAATGGATGCATGATGACCTGTGTTGTATGAGTATTTAGCCCAGCAAAGGAACTTGTGCCATAAACGTGGTTGTTCATGTGCAAAACATCGAAGGTAGGCTTCGAGGCCTCGGGTGACTACCTCTATCTGATTGTCTGTTTAGGGATGATAGATTGTACTCATCTTTAACTTGGTCTGTCTCAGTTGGAATAATTCTTGCCAAAATGAGCTCATGAAAACAGGGTTCTTATCAGAGACAATTGAGCAAGGCACCCTATGTAGATGGATGATTTCTTCACAAAAGACTGCTGGACCTCCTTTGTAGTATAGGGATGTGTAAGGGTAATAAAGTAGGCATACTTGCTCAAACGATCCACTACGATCAATATAACCTCAAAACTGCTCGACTTTGGAAGGCCAATGATGAAATGAAGTAAGATGTCTTCCCAAATTTGGGACGATACCGATAGGGGTTGAAGAAGACCTCCTGATGCCAATGTTTGATACTTATTTTGTTGACAAGTGGTACAATGCCGTACATACGTTCACATTTGTCTTCTTGGAAGGCTAGTAAAAGTGCTCCACGAGCCGCTTAAAGGTTTTAACAAAACCACCGTGCCCACCAATAGCTGAGAGTGAGCTTTCGCTAGTAATGTAGGTCTCAATTGTGATATGTAAGGAATGACTACTTAATTGTCATGGAAGAGCTTTTGGTCAACCAGGTGGAATCTTGGTGGGGAAGATAGGTCCTGCTGCAGATCTAACAGAATCTCATTGGTGAAGGGATCTAATGCTAGCTCAGAAGATAGATCTTGTAATTCAGATGAGAGTGGGACTGCCATGTGGAAAAAGTCTGCATGTTGGGGTCGCCTTGACAAGGCATCCGCTCCTTTATTATCCACGCCTGCCTTACGGATAATAGTGAAATTAAATGGTAAAAGCTTTATGATCAATCATTGCTGAGTATTAATGGTGATGCACTATTGTAGGAGGTATTGAAGGCTAGCATGATCCATTTGTACAAAGAAATGTCTCCCAAGAAGGTAATGATACCATTTTTGTACAAGAAGATCTACTGCTAGGAGTTCACGATCATAAGCTGATTTGTAACGATTAGAGATAGAGAAGCCTTTATTGAAGTAAGTAATAGGATGATTGTTTTGCATAAGGATAACTCCAATTCCTTCTATTGATGCGTCACATTTAATTGTAAATTCTTCAAAATTAGGTAACTCTAAGACTGGGGCCATCATCAATGCGAGCTTAAGGCGATTAAAAGCCTTTTGAGCTTGTTCTGACCATAGGAAAGCATCCTTCTTAGTTAATTTAGTAAGTAGGCGAGCAATGATTCCAAAATTCTTACAAAACGTCGAGAATACCCTACAAGGCCAAGGAAGCCACGCAGCTCTTTCACATTTTTAGGAATAGGCCATTCTCGTACTACCTCCACCTTTTTAGCCTCGACCTCCACTCGTTGAGTAGAAATGTTGTGCCCCAAAAAGGGAACTTGTGGCATCCCAATAAAGCATTTTTTAAAAGTTGACACAAAATACATTTTCTTGTAAAGCCTTCAGAACTATACATAAGTGATCTTGGTGCTGTTGAGAAGAGGAACTATACATTAAGATATCATCAAAAAATACCAATACAAATTTCCTCAAATAGGGACAAAACAGGTCATTCATAGTAGCTTGAAAAGTAGCTAGAGCATTAGTTAAGCCAAAAGGGATAACTATGAATTCATAATGCTTTGACTGAGTGCAAAATGTAGTTTTATGGATATTCTTAGGTAACATTCGAATTTGGTGGTAGCTTGAACAAAGATCAAGTTTTGAAAAATAGACGGCCCCATGTAGTTCACCTAATAACTCATCAATGTTAGGAATCGTATACTCATTGAGGATTGTAATGCTATTCAGTTTACTGCAGTCCACACAAAAATGCCATGAACCATCTTTCTTTGTGACTAATAGGACTAAGCTGGCAAATGGGTTGAGATTGGCTTAGATAAACCCCTTTTTCAGCAATTCTTCTACTTGTTCTTTCAATTTCTATTTTTTGATAGTGTGGGTACCTATATGATCGTGGATTAGGAGGTTTAGCTGCTACTAACAAAGGAATGGTATGTGTGTGGTTATTGAATGGAGGCAAACTGGTAGGCTCTTCAAAAACAGAGGTGTATTCATCAAATAATGGCTCTGGTTTGAAATCTTGAAAAGGGACAGAGTCAACGAAAGCAGCTCTTTATTGCATTGAATTAAATTGAGCACCTCTAGTGTCATTAGGTACCCCTTGAAGCTTATATCTCTTGCCATTCAACTAAAAAATCATAGAGTTGATTCCAGTTAGTTACATCGCATTGAGGGATGCGAGCCACTTAATTCTAAGAACCAAATCAGCCCCTCCTGAAGTGAAAGGGTAAAAGTCTTCCTTGATAGTTATAATCTCATCAATCCAACTTCTATATTTTTTGCAAATTCGGTTGTAGTGCACAATACTACTGTCACTGATCTGAACTCCAAAGGTGGACAGGATCTGGGTGGGGAGATGAAGTTGCTGCACTAATGCATTAGACATAAAATTATGTGTGAACCCACTATCCATTAATAAAAATCAAGGTTATTAAAACTGGACCAGACCGGCCGGTTTGACCAGGAACCGGCCTAGTATCTGGTCCGTAGATGATGCAGAACCGGACAAGAACCGCCTGAACCGGCTTCGAACCGGACTGAACCGGGAGAACCGGCGGTTCAGGCAGACAAGTATTATTTTTTTTTCTCCTTCCCAGTTTCACAAAACGGCGCCATTTTGTCCTCACTCCTCAGAACACTAGAAGCCCAGAACCTAATTGTAGACTAAAATGATTTTAGTCTACTACTATTACTGTTGACCATTTTTGCGTTTCAGTCCAGCATTCCTCTACTCATCTTCCTCACTCATACCCAAGCCTTCATCGTCTTCATCATTCCTCCACAATCCTCTACCGTCACCTTCCATTTCTGGTATGGCGTCGTC